ATATAGACGGGACGCATGCAGTAATTAAAATAAGGTATTTTTCTATAAAATTATTTTCCAATTAAGCCATAAACGATATTCAATCTGATTTTATGTGAGTGAACATTCTGTAATCTCACCGTGACCATTCGAAAGCAGTTCAAAAGTTAACAGAAAAATACATTATCAATTTACATAATCAAAAGTCACATCCGAGACTCTGTATTCATGTTCCTTATGTAATTTTTAACAGACGTTTCGACGAAGAACATAAACGACACACGTGATAATTTTACATAATCTATCATCTTCAGTAATGAAGCTATCCGAAGTGTCAATCAAACTAAACAATTGACCAATCAGAACAGGGCCAGGAATTTTACGCACTTGTCCAACAAATACGCGCGTTATTACAGGCCTACTGTGTTAAATATTCATTTCCCCCACCCCAAACGTGCTACGACAGAATGCATTGCAACTATACATTTATCCACCGCAGTTTAAGAATCAGGCAAAGCATATACAAACCCCAAAGCTGCGCGCATCAGACCAGAACCCTGACACACCAGTTAAGGCGTTGGCCAGACTCTGTACGCACCGGTAGCAGTGGCGTAGGCTTTAGCCAGAGGCCCCAGTCCTCTCCGAGATATTCATCAACATATTTTTTGACGCAATTCGGCCGAGCAGGGCCTTTTATAAGGAGCAATTTAAAAACATCAAAAACTTTTAATGTCAGACCCGAAGTGTGTGTGTGTGTGTGTGCGTGTGTGTGTGTGTGTTGGGGGTGTTTCCCGTACTCCACTGCACTGTACCTAGACCCCAATGGTAAGCCTTAGCCAGTGGACTCATGTCTCTTTGTTACGCCACTGACAGGTATAGTAATAGGATGTTAATATTTAACAGTGGATTTGGTCTGCTGTGAGTCACATTCATTAATCCTCAGAGTGCATAGGGAATGTTTCAACTGACCAGGGTACGATTCCCTTCACTCTACAAGATCGGATCCGACACAGTCATGCTGAGTCAGTTTAGTGAGTGGGGGTCTCCGAATTTGGCACATAAACGCATTTTATTTATAGATTTATAGTTTGTCCCAGATTACAGTTTTTTTTTTCCTTTTTTGTTTTTTTGTTTGTTTTGTTATACCACACTCATTGGATTTAGAGTGTAATTGTTGCTCGGTTAACGATAGGCCATGGAGTCCTATTCATATTTGTTCATTCTGCGCGATTAAAATGAAATAAAATGATGGAGGATTTTTCTAAACTCCGTTCTAAGGCATATACTAATGTAAATTAATAGCAGTCTATGTATTACTATCCATATTATATTTTGTATACCAGTAATTATTTTCATATCAGACATACCGGTACCTGAGCCTAGATTACCCAATAGTATAGCAGCTTGTTTTCTTAATGTACTTGTTTTTAACCACTTATTTGGTGGGTGGATTTTTAAACTGATTTTCTACATAGTGTGATAGCATCAGTGAGAGATAATCCGTGTAAATCCCAATGAGACAGCTATATCTGATCATTATGGTATGGTATGGTTCTTCACAAATAAATATTCAACATCTCAGAACGTATAGGCGCTTGTTCCCACGAGAGCGACACGAATATAGAAGTTTCCAGGTCTGATAATACTATTAGACTAGGTTTAGCGTGTTTATCTAGCCGAATATTTTTAACTAACCATAATTTTCATCGCGGAAATCCTTTAGGCATAATTAGGCTGTATGTTATACTACTATTACTATTCTTCACTCAGTCTGGGCTAAAAACTTGTTATGGTGAACTTCTATATACAATTTGGCTCAAAATACTTAAGTAGATTTTATAAGCCGTATCCTTAGGCCTATCCTCCATTAGGCAGTGTGAATAACAAGCCATTATCAGTGAAAACAAACGTGTACATCATATCCTTCTATACACATTTATTAGGCAAACTCCAGCCTATACTGAACTACTCACAATTGGTAGAAACGTTGTCCTTGTATTATTGAGTGAGGTTACCCTACGGGAACTATTTCCAACACTACCCCATATCATGTTCCTATCAACGCTTCGATCGGATAACAATTAGCATGAATCGGAACACAACATGATTAATGTAGTATGACATTAACTCTTAAATCATCCAGACGCGATGTGTTCCATCATGCTTCCTTGCACATGACGTTAAAATATTCTTCCATGAGAAAAAAACAAAACAAACATAAAGCAGGATAAAGAGCCTACTGTCGGAGATATACTGTACCAGACTGTACTAAAAGTTAATTATTACCTAACTTATTTGATACTAAAAGTAATTTGAACAAAACCAATATATGACCTAGACCTAGTGATGATCATGATGGTAATGATGATGATACTGATGAAGGTGTTGGCGACGATGATAATGATATTGATGATCATGATCATGATCATGATCATGATGATGGTAATGATGATCATGATCATTGTGATGAAGCCCAAATACACCACAATACTCAGCAAATAGTAACCTAAAATAAACCTAATTATTGGACTCAAAAGATGATGATTTACTGGACTGGACTCACGTTCAGTACTCATCAGTAGCCAGTAGTTCATCTAACTTTCCGAAATTAAGAAGCATAGAGTTGCCTTTTCGTTAAGAAAGATATATTAATGAGGAAATGGGAACGTCGTCAAAATACAGCTAAAAAAAAAAACAAAAAACCCAACGACCGTTCCTAAACTGGTATTCACATTCGGTCTTGCTTATTCGGATACCATCACTGATCGCCACCATGGCGTCCGGTCGACTTTGACAAATGTTCTTCTGCCGTTCATTTAACCCTGGTACCCTATCACATATGATGTTTGCACCCAAAGCAACAACTGACGAAAGAGCCCTATAAGAAAACATATTAACTATTAATTGAATATTAATAAATAGACAGTTCACTCTAAAAACTTTATTCACACTACGAGCTTTCGTTCACATTCTGAATTTGTCAAAAAATTTCTCTATGCCTAACCCATCTCTCTTGTTCAGATCAAGGAAATAAAAAACGACATCCGGCTACAGTAAAGCCACACAACACTACAGATATTTTGTGTATCTGACTTTAAAAAGAGGAACACGTTTTAAAAACAATTATCTGGTAATTAATACAACGTTTCAGTGTCGTCTCGTGAACATTATATCAAGTGATTAGATTGTTTTCGTTAAAGATCATGACGTGTTCCGACTTCTCCTTTCGTAATCCCTAGATAATATCATCTACCGACCGGTCACCTGCTCCACGGTCTCCTCTCTGCTTGAAGTACCTTCAGTCAATTGGATTACCTTGTTTGCCTAAATACTATCAACAGTATCGTTAAGATCCTGACAGTGTCGTTCATTTTGTTAATAATAATACTTGATCAAAATGATATATCTTTATCAGTTGGTTAATCTTCCAGCCGATGACCGAGTTTTTCATCGTGTACAGATTGTTACCTTTGCGTATGTCGCGACGCAATGAATACTTTTTAATGCTTTGTTTGTTGCACGTCTTAATATCTGAAAACGAGGCGCATCCAGCGGCGACCTGTGATTGATACTGCGCACGTCCGAAGGCGCGAATTCCCAGCCAGAAATTGAGCTTGACAGTCGCCGATTGGGGTGCTAATTGCTGGGTTAGATCAACACCGCCTAGAGAATAAACGCAAATATACCTGAATGTGCCATCATCAGTTGACAGCTAACAATAAATTAAATATAATATATGCAAAGGTGGGATTTTCATGATCAAAGATCGCACCCTATATCACATGCGGTCGTGAAAATTAATCCGGCAATTAAGTTTCGGGAAGTCATTTAAATTATATTATATCCTGAAACTTAGTTTTAACTAACAGTTGTGTGGCATCAAAGCGTGTCATGAGTTGAGACAAGCTGATAGTATATTTAAGAGTAGGAGCGTAAAGCCATATCTACTCACATAAAATGCGTAGTTCGCGCATTACCGTAAGTTTTGATTTTAAACCTACTCACGTTAAATTGTAGCACGACTGAATGACGAAATATCTTAGAATTAACCGGAATGTTGCACAGGTTAAGCGCATGATAACCAGCCTAGCACGATATTCTGTAGTTGTAATATATTCCTGTCAAAGGAACAGCAGAATAACCCGGCTGTTGGTCCAAGATTTCCACATTAATAAACCTCTTACGCTTCGATACATGTAGTGACAAGCATTACAATAATGAAACTCCCGAAAATACACTTTCAATCGCCAATTCAAACAATAGATTTGATTGGTCACTGCTATGTTGTTAAAACTTTCAGCGCTTATCCTCATTGGTGGAGACCAGCCGACTATATCGGCTAAGAAAACATTTTGCCTTAGGGGTCCATCTTAGTTTTAATAGTCTTTACTAATTTGTTTTTTTGAACAGTAGCGGTCAAAATTGAAAATGGAATAGATATAATAATATAAGTTGTTAATATTATTTCATCCGACAGGGGTCCGTAATTTTTTTTTTCAACCATAATCCCGATTAAAAGCTTTCCTAAAACCAAAATATGAATCCTGATAGGATTTCACATTCTGTACCCTACTGTTTCTTTAATTTGTTCCGGTTAGGAAATATTATTGATTAAGAAAATAACGAATAATCGGATACCCGTTTAAAGATAGTTGGAATGGTGCGTGGTTTTGCATACGGTACACTTTACTGTACAATAAGTCGACCAGAATTATTTTAACAAATAGGCCTCTTAGTGGATACCGGGATATACCGCTCTTGGTAGATTGGGTCTTTAAATATTAGACCTAGCCTATTTTTCAGTTGTCGTTTGTGATCATATGGATGGGGAGGGTGGGTGATTGATAACAACGGTTTCCATGGAGAAATCCAGAAGCAATTTGCAATTGACCGCTGTTGTTGTCAATGATATGACAAGCATATTTCCAATGAGCTGTAGGCCCACTTCACCGTAACGACCTTATAAATTGAAAACATCCTAATCATACAAATCAGTTCAACAAACATTAGTTGGAGTAATTCTGTGTTTGATTTTACAGCCCAAAATCATGGTATCAACAGGCTGAATTGTGCTTCGAATAAACTTGTCCTGTAAAATTCCCTTCATCAAAAATAATGAGAAAATTCTAAGCGGATGTGGTCACTCTTGTATTATTTCCGCCCATGTAACATTTCATGTAATTGAAATCGCATGAATAATCTAAATGAATGTTGTATTAGGCCTACAAAGTACAAGAAACTTGTTAATAATAGGGTAGGTCCGACTGAATTTGAAGCAACTATTCAGTAATATAGGCTATAAGAGGCTTTGATACAACTCTATTTTATAAGGCTTTCAAAGACTTGATATATAACGATGATTTGATTAACCATCAAAAAGAAATAAAACCTGACAAAATAGGCCTATTTAATATTATGAAAGGAAGGTTTGTTCGTTTGCTCACCATCCAAAACTTGTCACTTCGGTTCGAATATGGTTATTTTACTCCAAATCTCCAGTATAAAGGCCTGTCCAGACTATCAAAGTTTAGTTGATCAAAAGCTGTTGTCATAGTCACGATGTGTGATGTCATCATGACCATATTAGGCAAGTCAATATTTTGTCAACTAAAATTTGATAGTCTGGACAGGGCTTTAAGCTATGTCAAAATTATCAAAGGTTCTGACAAAAAACTTTTGTATGCCCATATATAGTCATAATGTGCCTATATATGGTCATGGTGTGATGTCATCATGACCATATTTAGGCATGTCACATGTTTTTGTCAAATAAAATTTGATAGACTGAACAGGGCTTAAGACTGGGTTAATAGAGCATAACACCTTGTAAATAATAATTGCTAACAGCGCACGATATTGAACCAAAACTGTCAATTTAAATCAGAATCATCAGTGTTGAAAGTATTAGGCCTATATCTTGATGTTCAGTCAGTCATTTGATTGACATTATCGTATCGATTGCATTATGTACATTTGAAATTATTCGATAAGCTGGTACAACTCCTATCTTGTGGTACGATTACTTCTTTTCACACCTGATTACGTCATGGGTAAGCAATCGCCATCCATGAAGTAACACCATTGGTTATAAATCAGGGTTGTCATGGGCTAAAATGCGCGGGCGCATTTTGTTCCTTTTGTTCAAACTGAATCAAGTCTTGAGGACTTTGATTTGGTTGGTTTTAGAAGTAGGTCATCTGCCCATCAGTCATCTATTATCGGCGCAATGATTACTAATGGAAAAAATATTAATCAATTAACCAATCAATTGACTAATTGTCACGGATGTTTGACTTTTGCTACGCAAACATTGAGTGATCGTTGAGATGAGATAGTAACGCTTTCACAGGCTATCATTGTCAAATAACGATAGAAGTATACATACCACTGGTCTAAATAACAAAATACTGTAGACCCATGAATGTGATCACCATTTTTCAATAAAACACAAATTATAAGTTCTGTCCACACTATTAAATTGTATGTAACTGTGACATGCCCATATTTGGGTGTCACATTCATCACACACATTTGTCCCATACAATTTGCCGGTGTGGACAGAGTTAAAGCGCATTGGACTTTTGTTGCAATGCGCTGTACAACCCTAGTGCATAAATTTCACGTTTTGTACATTGCCTCGTTACTCTTTATATTATTTGTTTTAAATATTGTCTTTATGAACGCACCGTCATTATGCTACGCGTGACGTGTGCGGCCGATGGAAAGGCGTATTTTTTTCAAATAAAATATTATTATTAATGGTACTTCACACGTCTGCTGATGGCATCACACACGCGTTCAGATTCTGGGAAAGTGTAAATTTAGTTACGGTAATGATTTTACGAAGTTTTTAAATTACTCCATGAATCATGGTGATTCTAACAATAAATGACGTCACATGTAGGCCTATTGATGGGACAATGACGTCTAGGCCTACTGTCTACGAGTTCAATGTCGAACAGTCACAATCACAATGTCATGATCGCGGAAATTAAGGCGTAAGAAATTTACCGCAAAATATCCACCCAAGGAAGACTCGGTATCAATGATATTACTATGTACAATGACTGGTCTTTAGGCACAGAAAGAATGTCACAGTTTGTCACATACATTCTCGACACCACCCTTCAAATTGCGCCCATCGACTGTCAGTCTCGGCTTTCAAGAAAGAAATCAACTATCAACATTTGAAACTGTACATATTTTTCTAACGCGGAAGGTGGTCCACCGCCCATAGTAATATCTTGTAGATTTAGTTAGCCCAGTCTCGTTCATCTAGGCTGACAGAACAAGTAATGTCTTAGCAAACCTATGCGGGAGATTCGTCTTTTTCTCCGCCGCGTTAATTGATGTGACAAAATTAACCAACACCTGCTCAGTTCTAACTGTGCATGCAACTGTTTTGTCCGTGGTGCCTAATTTTAAAGGACCGCCGAATTCTCTCTTTAATACATGATGAAAAGATTAGTGCAATGGAAGCCTAGATGTGATATTTGTATTCAATTGTTTTTGTTATCTATTGACCACATCTCATCCTTTTCCTCCATACACATTTCAGGACGGGTCATAACTTATGTATTGAGTCATGGTGGCCGTTTTGCTGTCGTTTTAATGTTGCCACAATGTATCTCATATTACCCCCTTCCTCAAAACGTCAAGAGGTGAGCGCGTGTCAACATAATGCGTAACTTTTCCCTGAATCATGCTGACTGTGCATCCATGCAGCAGACTATGTAGACCTAGTTGTCAAGTTTTATGAATTTCTCCAACCCTCCAATTCAGTGTCAAATGATGTAGGCGTGTTTTGCGCAGAATTCGCTGTTTCCTTAGAAACCAAAACACCGTTGAATAGGAAGTTTTTAAGATACTGCACATTGAGCATCGGTGAGGATCTTGCACTTAAAACTTTATTATTTTAATTCTTATTATTATATTATCATTTTTATAAAAATAATACTTGACATATAATAATATTCGTTTTATGTTGGGCAGTACTAGAAAAGGAGGTCTGCCTCAGATTTGGTAATTCTGTACTATAACCCCATTGGAAACATGTTGTCATTTGGCGACTTTCATGGGTTATCCGGGCGATTTTTTGTATCTTCTTCTTCGTTCAATCTGTCAACTTTTGTTTTGTACTCACTCTTTTGCCTTTGATGTTTGTGTTTTGTTTGCCGTATAGAAAAAAAAGGATACTGCAGTATAGTCAAACACCCCTTGAATAGAACTTGATACACAACTTAAAATCTTACATCTAATATTCATAAGTTCGTTTCTGATATACGAGTGAGTAGACACACAAAACTGGCAGAAACTTTACACCGGTGTTGCATCTGTGCCTAAAAATATTAGCTAATATTGGTTAGATTTCTTCTGAATAAAGCATGTTACACAGGTATTTGTGATCTTACATCAATATTAGCTATAGAAGTTGTGGTAAATATTTATTTACTTGCACTTTTACATCAGTGACACAATTTAAAAAAAATAAAGGTGCGTTCAAAAAACAAAAATTATACAAAAGATTACAATACACAACAAAAAAACAAAAAACAAAAAAAAATAACAGCGAAAAAAATAAAGCTAACTCAAAACCGCTTAAATTAACCCCTTCCTTCCTCCCCCTCCCTCCCTGAAAATTCAAATGCTATCCCTCGCCACAAAAGAACAAAACTTAACCCCTAATTTTCAGAATAATATTCTTAGTAGCTTCTTCCCTCCCCAAACAATGCATCTAGGCCTACCCCTTAAAAACTTAAATATCAAAAGTAACATCAAAACAGTAATGCAGGAAAGATATATTATGCTTAATAAAAAAATTAGTAAATCGAATTTGACAACCCATTAATCCACATTCGTAACAAATATTTTACTGTGCCACTTAGAATTCAACTTTTGTAGTAGACTTTTCTATAATGCTATGGAACGGTATAGAACAAGGCATAATTATGGATAGGACTCTGAAAATCCATATACGCTATACAATAATTCTTTTTGACTAATTCATTCAAATAGTTATTTCTCATTTACAACTAGGCCGATAGTACTAGGTATGCCTCGTTTAGCACACATTAGGACTTGGTTGACCTACAAAAAGTGTACATTACTGAAAATATTAACTTGATGGAAGTAAACCCAATCCGTAATTCCTATTGTATGTGTAACCACGTGAAATGTCTATTAAAAATTAACGACCGATACCACTCCATACTGTTTGTACAAACATGATGATATTATTTACTCAACGAGATTAAATTCTTTTACCTGTTTTGAGTCTATAGACGTATCGTTAATTCGTCTTTACATTATCAACAACACTCTGTTAAAGTGCCCACTCCACGCACCAGATTACATCAAAATAGATCCTATCTTGTGTTTTGTCCCTGCTTTATAATGATAATCGTAAGGCTAATAGTAATAATAATAATATATAAATATATTATTAATAGTAATAATAATGTAATATAATAAATATTAATATTTTTATATTACGGTACTATGACGCATGTTTGAGGCTACAGTAGCCTATACCTATTTGATATGAAATGCGTCACGTAAAGCACGCACATGCTACGGCACGGTGGCGTAAGCGCAACGATTTCTGTCATAAGTTTAGCATGTTTTAAAATTACGTTTGTATTTGAAATAAAGGGTTGGGTCATGCTTTCTTTTGTTTATTTTTTACTTTATAGGCCTCTACAGTTACAGATAACTTGAACTTCATGGAAGTCTGATAGTGATGAGCGGTGGCATAAAACTAAATTTTGGTCAAGGCCCACAGAGTCTGAATTAGCGCCGTGATGTTTCATTCTCAGCGTCAAGGTTGCTGTAAACGGATGTTCGAGCATAAAAAATAACAACATAAACCGAAATCATGTGTTTAAATATATAGAATATACCAGGTTATTATATTATTCAACGCTTATCTAAGAAACCGTAGCACAATCTGTCATTTTCAATTTTAATATGTGTCGACTTTTGCATAAATTGAAAGGATAGATGTTGTCCAGATATGATTACTGTACACTGAGAGTAAGGCGTGGTTAAGAATAATTATGAAATGGAATTAAAGTATAAACATGATTCTTACTCAGAATTTGATCAATGATTAAATAATATTCTTGGTTAAACCTAATATTAACTACTTTGCATCATATAACAGTATTAGGTTTTTTTTCTTCGTGTTAGGAAGAATTTAATTTCGCTTTTTTTTTAGTTCACACAGGCCAGCAGTAGCTTGAAGTAAGCCAATGTGATAAATAGGCTATTTTCAAAAATTAGGGTGAAGGGGAGATTTCGCGCCAACACCATTTTGACTGCGCGTCCTATTTAGTTTACAAAAGGGGATCCCCTATTTTAATATTGAATGACTCTTGTGATTCGTTTTTTGTAGTTACTCACTTAAAACCCTATAGGATATTTCAACATAGGGCTAGAGCTGAACAAAAGTAGCGTAACGGTGAAAATGATGAGGCCTATATCTACAATCAGATTGCTAGATAAGCCATGGGGAACATGAGCATAGGCTAATGTACGGATAACACATAAAAAAATAATGTCTCAAGACGTTATTATTAGGAAAAAGACACAAAAATCATATTGAAAAAATTAAAAAAAAATATCTGAAGCGGTTAGTGAGATACAGATTTTTGAATATTTAAAAACATGGGGAAAAGCTGAAAAAGTGTGGTTACGCCCTTTCCCCACATAAATCTGTATCCTCATAACCGCTCCAAACTTTTTCGTCAAATATGCTTTTTATGTCTTAGCATTTTTTCCTCCGGAACGCGACTTATAATGATTATTTCTATTGAAACGATTATGTTTTTGCTATTACAGTTTGTTTAATACAACATGATTAATTAGATTACCAGTCTAATTTAATGTGTTACGAAAGGAATACACGACTTTTATTATGCCCATATACTCATGGGTGTATATTTTTCAATTTAAAGCTTATAATTTCCTTAATAAATAGTGAGAAATCACTATATTAATTAGCACACACCAATAGATTATCGTTAATATTAATGTGGCCATCACACGAGCTAAACATATAATCGACTTACCTGATATAAGTTGATATTAAAATAAGAACTATCGCTGGACGAATTAAAGACCAACCAATATATAGCAGCATTTTGAATAATACCTTCAGATAAAAACAATTCCAGTGGTAAGGTAACAATTACTCAATTCTGCATCTGACGAAGACCATGAGGCTTTCTAATGTTGTGAAAACTCTTACAGTTTTACATTCTTTATAAACACATTGGTCCAAGTTAATTATTCCTGTCGGTACATAAGTGTTATTTATACAAACATCAGCGAATATCGTTACAAACGTAAACCCACACAATTAGTTCCGGCCAAAAATTGCCATTGTAATTCCAGGTTTGAGCAAACGTTATAAAAACTTTCAACAAGTCTAGAAAAGTTGATCGTTTACACTTCACTACAGCGCACGTGTGTAAATGCCACACAGTTACTATGTTACGCTTGAGCCTGTTCGCTTTTCTCCATGGGGTACTTTTTGGTTAATTATGTCACCTTGTTAACACCCCTTATTCCAGAATTTGAACACTTGAGTTCATGTTGAAGTTTGTACTTCTCTTTATGGTCATGACGTATAAGCTACTTTTATTGACCAATAGATATCGGCTTCATTACCCAATGATCTTTGCTCTTTATCCCAAGGCGTGTTGAGCAAATTCGTAGTTCATGCTCAACCGCTTAGCATTCTGTTCGCCCCGTGCAGTGGTCTGATCAAAAGCAAGCCGTCCTGGGCACGATGCTCAGAATCCCACGAGAGAAGACGTCAAAACAATCCTACTCAACGAAATCTTGTCCAATTTTCCAATTTATACCAGTCCTTGTATCATTCCGCGTTTATACATTTACACAAATTATTGCTTTGTTTCGTCACGCATAATTTTCTTTAGGCCCGACCTCCTGTAGAATCAGGTTGTAGATAACATCTTTAGTTGTCTCAAGTTGTGACACAGGATCACACATTAAAAACGAAGGTTGTCGTGTACTTTCCAAGTATTGTCCGTGTACAATTAATTAGTTGTTTAATTTGCTCCAGCCCTAAAACACTTGTCAACATACGGTTGGTAAAAGCTTATGAGGGGTTTTCTTGCCGTCTCATGCCCCTAGAGCCGAAGCCCTATATCCTCCCTTGGGATAAAGAAACACAGTTGATTTAAGAATTACCGCAAAGAGTTGAAAATTCTTATGAAAATATCTAGAATAAAGATGACAAGAACAGTCGACCGTGGACCTAGACAACATAGTGTGCTTACGTTCATTGCGTGGAGATGGAGGTGTGCGACTGATCTAGTCGGCGGAAATTAACAAGTTATCAGCTAATTTGCTTGTTCCACATACACCGGTTAAAGTCTCAAGAGACAGTTGACAATTGCGGCATGTCGTTATGTTGTCCACTGCATTTCAAATACAAATGTAGTCCAGGGGGTCGATGCCCAATCGTTTAAAACTGGATTGGTCAGCCTACGACCGACCGGAAATGTTCTATTAGGTGTACAAGCCTAGACCTAGTTGCCTGGATATAGCAGACGCAGCAAAATTCCTGAGCTTCCGTTAAACGTTATAATGCAGGCCCATTTTTGATTTTGGCTTTTATAGATCCTTTAAAAAAAAAATTAAACATGTCTGTTAAATGTTTCGCCTAGATAAAATTGATAATATCCCATACGCTTGACTACACCAATCTATTCACTAACCAAAAATAGCAATATAGGGTACTAAATTTGAAATCTAAGTTTTACACTAGCACCGTGTAAACATAAACAACATTATGTATATCGGTTGTATACACTCATTTGTATCGTAGTACAGAGGAAAGTTTGGAAACTAATCTGGAAACTTTTCCAACAAAAGGTGGCGCTCTGCCAAAATGCTGCTGATCACCACTGTACGGCTGTATTTAATATAAGACCCATACTGTACTTATTATTCATGACTAAATTATAAATAAAAAATTGTAGTATTGGAAAATCAACGCATGCTTCCTAATGTAAATAGATGAAAAGGAGGTAAATTAAAAACACACAAACACAATCCAAAATAATTATTTTTTATAAAGATTTAATTTGCCATTAAATAACAGAATGGTCAGGCCTAATGGTTAATGGTTTTAAATTTACCAAAATACAAAAAGTCTGTCCCTCAAAAAGCAAGCGTAGATATGTTTGGAAATGTGAAAGAAGAAAAAAAATAAAGATAAAAGTTCCAAGCTCAACTTCAGAAGAATCCTTGGGTATTTAAAAAAGCGTCCCATTAATTGGGTGTCTCCTGAAAAGAGGTGTCGCTGTTTAGGGACACTAACCGGAAAAATACTAAAGTTAATAGGAGTTTTGGCACGAAATTACTTCCCCATATGGGCTAAATGTGCCCAATAAGCGTCCCTTATTAGGAGTGTCTCTTTAGTAGGGATTAGATGTATAGTGTCAAAAGGTATCCTTCTTTTCGTGTACATTTAATAGGGTGTCGAATAAAGTGGGGGTGTCGCCTAAATGGGAGTGTCCCAAGGGAGGAGCTCTACTGTGGTATACGATTGTACAAACCATAGGCCTAAGTTATTTTTTAACATCACCATCATTAATATTATCATCACTATCTTTATTATTATCGTCTTGACTTCAGTTTATCTCAAGTTATAACTAAATTATAATCATTAGACCTCAAAAAGGTGATTTATTTTATAATTGATTTGCTGTAGGTCCAAAATATTAATGCCTGATGATGATGATTCGGCAAATATTTTTCTTGATTCGTTCCCAAACAAAATTTTACCAACACACTGGCCTTTAACACAACAGGTGCGTCTAACAGAGTGTCAGTTAATATTTAAAGTTTATGAAGTCCATTACTTGCTTTGTTTTATTTTAATTCAATCAAATAAGATTTATGGAACAAGTTGTTGTGATAGAGTTGATATGTTAAGTTGCGTTTAATAAAAGACAATTTGATGAACACATGGACTTTGTGAATTTATTCCATCGAGAATTACTCAAGATTAGTCATGTGATTCACTCTAAATAAAAATTCATAAAAGTTACCGTTTAGCGTACTGGACAATGAACAGTGCGCATGATCAGAAGTAAACCTCATCGGGATAAATACGCTACGCTGACAGTGTAGACTTTAGTCTGGCATTGCTATCCTCATAGTAAGTCAAACATGTTCTTCTAGTAAATAATTGTGAAAAGCACTGGAAAAATATTATCCTTAATAATATGGTAATATACGGTTCAGTAGGCCTATCTTTCAACGAATTCGAGTCAACTCGGCCCCAAGTCAACTCGGCCCCATGTCAACTCGGCTCCAAGTCAACTTGGCCCCAAGTCTACTCGGCCCTATGTCAACTCGGCCTCAAGTCAACTCGGCCCCAAGTCAACTCGCACCAATTTACTATGTATTTACTAAGAGATTTAATTGTAAAGCCAAAATTAGTGTTATAAATCGTTGCCTTTGTAATTTCTTTTTATTTACATCCACTTACAATAATTAAATCTGCATTAGTAAAAATAATATTAATAATAACAATATACTGTAAACAGGTATAATATAACTAATAATGATAATAACGATATGATGACAATAATAACGACATAATCATGACGAATACTAAATGAGTCAGATATTTTAAATATACATTATATGGATAGTTAAATATACATTATATATGTATATATTTGAATATATATATATATATATATATATATGTATGTATAAAAATCATGATATAATAGATTTAAACCTTCTTTATATATAAAGAATAATAGGAAACCATACCATATATAATATGGTCTTTAGAAACACTATAAAGCAATATTTAGACCTATCCTTATGGTATAGTTAAATATATATACCGTACATTATATAATAAAGTTAATATACATTTTAAATATAGATATATATATATATATATATATATATATATATATATGTATATATATATACACACATACACACTACTGAGGCAGATAACAACCGTTTTGTTTTATATTTATATAAATCATTATAGATTAATAGGTAAAGTCTACATCATATATATAAAAATAATAAGAAACAATACTATATAACAATATGAACTTTATTGGAGAAGAATTTCAGTATATTTAAATATGCCGAGAAATCAGTATGTTCATAACGTTATTTAGTTTTTATATTATGCCTTTAGTATTATTATTATTTTAAGTTTTATTTCTATAAATGCTGTTTTTATTGTTGTTAATGAAAAAAGAATAACAATGAAGGGACGATTTAAAACACTTTAATTTTGGCATAGGCCTAGTTTGTCTTTGCATTCATGTTTCTTTTGGTAATTATTTCGTAAATATACAGGGCCGAGTTGACTTGGGGCCGAGTTGACTTGGGTCGATTTGACATGGGGCCGAGTTGACTTGGGGCCGAGTTGATATGGGCCGAGTTGACATGGGGCCGAGTTGACCTAGGGCCAAGTTACTTGTGGTCGAGTTGACTTGGGGCCGACTTGACATGCTTCCTTTCAATTGAAACTTGCAACACCGAGTTTTGGTCCATAATTTATTCTAAAGTTGGAAATTGAAATTCTATTGACAATGTTGATAATAAAATCTAATTGATTTAGTTACGTAATGGTATTTTTTAATAGCCTATATGTCTCTTAAATCATAGGCCTATAGTGTTAATGAAATGAAGTGAAAAGCACGAAGACAAACACAGTTTACTTTGGTTTTCTGTAAACGTTACCAAGCATATTTCTTATTTACACACGTTTACGTTCGTGTACTGAGTACTAGTTAACTATAGTGTTCTTTCAAATCCGCCGGTACTAGTGGTAGCTGTAGTCCAAGTCCAAATCTGCCGACTCACCGGAAACGCGGCCACCACTTAATATGACTCCGCACAAGCTTGCACAGTGAGCTGGTTCGCATCAACGGTGTCCATAAGTGTGGAACTTCAAATTTAAATGAAGTCGGCAAGCATAAACAGCTCATTTAATTCCTCATTGTCTCTACCGTGTATGACATGCACTTTTGGCTCAAATGCAACGATACCAGTACGATTTTTTTTGCCTTTGATTGAGAACATGTTTCGGTGAATATATCCAAGGCTCTCAAGGGCATTTCATATTAATTTCGGATAAGAAAGTAGGTTAGATTTTCTAGGGAAAATTCATGTATTTACTGTACCTGCAATAAGTCAAATAAAAAAATATAACTTGCTAAACCAACTTGTAGAGGGCGGTAAAGATATACTGAGTTACGTCAGGTGATGGTTATGGATTTGTAACGTTTCAGAAACATTTCAATTGAATAGGAACATGAATGTATATAAATAGAATATGTATATGCTAATGATATAAATATGAATAAGAATGTGAATATGAATATGTACATGGATATGAATATATATTGAAGAGTGGGTTTGCATGTAGGCCTATGCTCCAAGTGAAATAAATTGTAAAAGCAATGAAAAAACGGTACAATCATTGAAAGTTGACTTGCGGAACACAGATTTATTAAGTTTATTTCCTGATGATGACATAATTAATGTCGAAATATTGAATCCCAACACGATGGCGTGTATTTCAATACTTGGAGTATGTATTATACTTTCTTATCTGAAATTAATCAGTGGACCTTTCGGTTTTTCAGATTTATTAAGCTATAACAAAATCAAACGGATATTATTTCGATAGATCCTGCTATCTTTATCAACGTTAAAGTGATATGAAAGTAGATACGGTTATGAAAATTAATGTCAATAAGAATGTGAATATGAAGAGGGATATGGATATGAATATAATATGGACAGTGCAAATGATGAATAGTAACATGAATATGTATATGAATATAGATATGGTTATGAATATGTATATAAATAAGAATGTGAATAGGTACGGTATATGAAGATGGATATGAATAGAACATGGATATGAACAAGTATATCAATATGAATAAGAATATGGATATGAATATAGATATGGATTAATATAAATAAGAATGTGAATAGGTTGAATGAAGGTGAATATGGATAGAATATGGATATGAAAATTGATATAAATATGAATAAGAATGGATATGAATAGGTATATGAATACGTATATACCGGTACGTTTCAGAAACATTTCAGTTGAATATGAACATGAATATGTATATAACTAGAAAATGTATATGCTAATGATATAAATATGAATAAGAATGTGAATATGAATATGTACATGGATATGAATATATATTGAAGAGTGGGTTTGCATGTAGGCCTATGCTCCAAGTGAAATAAAATGTAAAAGCAATGAAAAAACGGTACAATCATTGAAAGTTGACTTGCGGAACACAGATTTATTAAGTTTATTTCCTGATGATGACATAATTAATGTCGAAATATTGAATCCCAACACGATGGCGTGTATTTCAATACTTGGAGTATGTATTATACTTTCTTATCTGAAATTAATCAGTGGACCTTTCGGTTTTTCAGATTTATTAAGCTATAACAAAATCAAACGGATATTATTTCGATAGATCCTGCTATCTTTATCAACGTTAAAGTGATATGAAAGTAGATACGGTTATGAAAATTAATGTAAATAAGAATGTGAATATGAAGAGGGATATGGATATGAATATAATATGGATATGCAAACGATGAATAGTAACATGAATATGTATATGAATATAGATATGGTTATGAATGTGTATATAAATAAGAATGTGTATAGGTACCGGTACGGTATATGAAGATGGATATGAATAGAATATGGATATGAAAAAGTATATCAATATGAATAAGAATATGGATATGAATATAGATATGGTTATGAATATTAATATAAATAAGAATGTGAATAGGTAGAATGAAGATGAATATGGATAGAATATGGATATGAAAATTGATATAAATATGAATAAGAATGGATATGAATAGGTATGAAACGTATATACCGGTACGTTTCAGAAACATTTCAGTTGAATATGAACATGAATATGTATATAACTAGAATATGTATATGCTAATGATATAAATATGAATAAGAATGTGAATATGAATGTGTACATGGATATGAATGTAGATATGAATGGAGTGGTTGTTCTTTAAAGATAAGCTAATGGACCTTTCCGCTAAGCCCCGCCCTTGGATATTGTTACTAAGGTCCCACAAAGCGACAGTGTTAAAACATACGCGAACACGTGCGTTTGTGGCACAGCACGTGGGTTTGTGAGACGCGCGCGTATTCCTAGCGCTGTTTTGATTAGTCAGTTGTTAAGTTTGATTGACACTCCGCAAAGGTCTATTGTAAAACGAAACTTACCAGATACGTTTCGGCTTCGGTACCTTGATCTTTAAAGAACAACCACTCCGTTTATTATTGTTGAAGACAGATGAAATTCTTTGAGAATGTAGATATGGTTATAAAAATTAATGTAAATATGAATGTGTATATGACTGGATATCAATATGAATGGATATGGATATGAATATGTATGTAAATATAAATATTTATATAAACATAAAATAATAATAACAATAATAGGCCTAATAATAATAATGATAATAATAATAATAATAATAATAATAATAATAATAATAATAATAATATTAGTATTAGTATTATTATTATTATTAATATTATCATTATATGTTTCTGGAAGATGCCTAAGGTTCGGCAGTTTATCCAATTTGCGAACGGAAAGAAGGAATAAAACAAACTTTTTTTTTATAAACACAAATGAGTTAAAACCAATAAAACAATTTTATATTACCAACAACAATACTATGGATGTAGATATCTTTTTTTGATTATATAGGCCTATTATTAATTTTATTATCATTATTATATTATATGTTACCGTATGTTATATAGTGTGTATTTTGCTTTACTATATGTGTCTATTGATTATATAGAGATCTTCATTGATTTTTTACTAACAAAAGTTCATTTTCTTATGACTTTGAATTGATAATAAATCTCTTTAAAACATTATTCGACTACTTTTTTCGTTCTAATTTGGTTATTTACCGATAATATGGTGTCATAGCAACACCTTAGAAAAGATGGAAGAGATGACCAAGAATGCAGGCAAAACATAAGCTAACATGAACTTCACGAAAATAATAAAAGAACAGCAACATCCAAAACAACAAGAATAATAATAGTAATAGGGCTAGCAATGGCAATGTCAATGGCAAAATTAATAGCAATTGCAATAGAAATAACAAATGCAACAGCAATATTAGTAGCAATAGCAATAGCATTATACAATAACAATACAAATAACAATAACAATATAAATAATAATAATAATAATTAATAATAATGATGTTGATGGTGATGATAATGATGATGATGATGATGACGGTGATGATGGTGATGACAATGATGATGACAACGATGTTACGTGTAGCCAACGGTTTTTGTCGAAATTGGACACGGATTCTGCGAATTTAAAACTAGGCTTTAGGCAATTATCAACCTACAAAGGATTCCTGTGATACGTAGGTGCAACAGAACACAAATGAATCAGGAAAACGCGGGGTAAAAATCGTTCATTTTTGCCAAAATTGGCCAATCTTCACCTATTCGTTTGCGAGCCTTATATTATGGTACCCAACGGAAAAAAAACCAAATGTTAAGTTCGATTTAATCTTATTCAACGTCTCATTATCTTAGCATTTGAATGTTTCAAATGATCCCAGAATCGGACACATGGGCGTAACGAAATAGCATCGGAAATAACAAGCAGTATTTCACACAAGGTTGGTACTTTTATTATTGTTATTATTGTTATGATCGGTAGGTGCCACACAACAACCGAAATATGACGGCGTCATAGTTTTCCTGCTGGTTCTTACCTTATCAATAAACATTCCCATTATGTTTGATTTAACCTTGTGAACATCATTTTCTTAGCGTTTAAAAGTTATAATTTTTTTTTTTTTTTTCTTTACGTTTTTGCGAAAATTGGCCAATTTTTCACCTAGTCGTTTTCCTGCTGATTCCTACCCTATGGTACCCAGGGATCATGGAAATGCCGATTATATTTGATTTAACCTTGTTCAACATCATTTTCTTAGCGTCTAAAAATGTTAATTTTCCCAAATTCTACTCAATTGACGAATTGAGTAGGCCTATCGCTTGAATTAACATTCAGCTTAAAACTTGTTTTTAAGTGGCGTTTGTCAACCTACAGAGTGGTGTTGTGATCCGTAGGTACCAATACAACACAAAACAACCCGAAATGGTGGGGTCAAAAAAATCGTCCCAAAAAAATCGTGAGCTATACCCTTTACGTTTTTGCGAAAATTGGCCAGTTTTTCACCTAGTCGTTTTTCTGCTAATTCCTACCCTATGGTACCCAGGGAACATGGAAATGTCAATTATATTTGATTTAACCTTGTTCAACATCATTTTCTTAGCGTCTAAAAGTTTTAATTTTCCCAAATTCTACTCAATTGACGAATTGAGTATCGCTTGATTTAACATTATATAAGCTTAAAACTTGTTTTTAAGTGGCGTTTGTCAACCTACAAAGTGGTGTTGTGATCCGTAGGTACCAATAGAATACAAAACAATCCGAAATGGCGGGGTAAAAAAAATCGTCCCAAAAAAATCGTGAGCTATACCCTTTACGTTTTTGCGAAAATTGGCCAATTTTTCACCTAGTCGTTTTCCTGCTGATTCCTACCCTATGGTACCCAGGGATCATGGAAATGCCGATTATATTTGATTTAACCTTGTTCAACATCATTTTCTTAGCGTCTAAAAGTTTTACTTTTCCCAAATTCGGACTCAATTAACGAATTGAATATTGCTTGATTTAACATTATTTAAGCTTAAAACTTGTTTTTAAGTAGTGGCGTTTGTCAACCTACAGAGTGTTGTTGTGATCCGCAGGTAGCAATACAACACAAAACAACCCATTTTTCACCAAGTCGTTTTCCTGCTGATTCTTACCCTATGGTACCCAGGGAACATGGAAATCTTGATTATATTTGAATTTAACTTGTAGAACATTGTTTTCTTAACGTCTAAAAGTTTTAATTTTTCCAAATTCGACTCAATTGACGAATTGAGTATTGTCAGATTTAATATTATTTAAGCTTAAAACTAGTCAAATCTCTTATACACATCTAGATGTGTATAAGAGACAGACATACGGTATTGTTTTTAATGATAGAACCTTCTTCGAGTGATATAAGTTCTTCCTTGAATGCAGAGAATATTAATAGGACGAAAACAAAAGGCGATGAAACAGGTTTCTGAATCAAATCAATGATTTAATACTGCTGATGTCATTCAAGCAATGTATAGAAAACGAAAACTAAACATTTCATATTGCCAATTAATACTCAATATTTTGACAACTTACAGTTACAACAGTAGTTTCATATTAACACTTATCATATTTTCTAACTTATTTTCTTAAAGCAAACATTCTAATTGGCACAATTTTCTCATTACAGTACCATTAATTAGATTTTCTGCAAGAGTTGAGTTTGTAAAAAGTTTATACAGAGTGCTGATGTTAGTATGTCTCTTGATGTAATTTATCTTATGAAAAACACAAGAATCTGAGACTGAACTAATTTCTTGTTTTCATCTCAGTTATATTCACAAAAAAATGTATTTTATATATAATTATATTAACAACTAGTAATATTTATTAAGTAAACTTGACTAAAGAATATAACTGATAATACCCTTTTTTACTAGGTGGTCATTGTTTTCATTTCATTAAAATGCCTCAAATTAAGTTATATGAAATTGTTATCTATCAGTCAAGTTTAAAATACTGTATTAAATATTGCTTAATATTCTAATTTTAATCGAGGCTTCAGTGCTGCACATGGACTGAATATTTGACAATTATAATTAGGCATACTTTTGAACGTCACGGAGAGGTGAAGCCGGGCACTCACTGCCGCGCCCGACGGCCGATGCAATAGACCTTTCCGGAGTGTCAATCAAACTTAACAACTGACTAATCAGAACAGCGCTAGGAATACGCACGCGTCTCACAAACACACGTGTTTCCCCACAAACGCACGTGTTCGCGTATGTTTAACATTGTCGTCTTGTGGGACCTTAGCAACAATATCCAATGGGCGGGGCTTAGCGGAAAGGTCCATTCTATGGAGAACGTAACACCACGACGCGCGCGCACTAGATCGTTTCTAATGACGGTCCGTTCAGATTGCCGTAGGCAATCACGGGACAGCGTCGCATCGTCTAGCGCTCACAGGGAGCGGAGTTTGATTTGTGGTGCGACGGTCGTACGACGCAGTAAGTGCCCGGCTTAAGAAAAAAAGTACCAAAATGTGTTGAGCCAAACGATATTCAAACAGTATACTGTACCAGGAAAAGGTTGAGTTAACAACTCGTCATACAGGCAAGTATCGATTAACTTACAACTTTACAAAATTTCCAAATAATATTATATGGAAGAATACACGGGTTATAATATACACATTAAAATGAGACAAGAGTTACTGAAGAACAGACGACGATACCCAATTGATATCGAAACAACGAGAGTTAACCTCACGAGGTTAAATTTCCAATCAAATATCGTTTCTTTATCTTACGTGGCAATCTGAAAAAAAAAGCCACATTATTAACATATCATAATAAACTTCACCCACATACAAATCATAGATATTATCAGAATATGGTTACATTTGAACTTGGCCCTAATATACAAGTAATTATTTACTTTAAACTATTATTGAACTACATGGAAATGCTCTAGGGCTATCCCATTACGGAAATTGAGAAATATAATTTTTTTGTCGATGTAATGTGGGTAAAACAGCCAACAACAGCATCACCATTATTGTTATTATCATAACATTTATTATACTTATTATTCTATTATCACTCTTTAAATAATCATAAGTTACCTGAACGCCCTTATATGCTTTGATCGATAATTCAACTCACTGGTAACTAGATATGCCAAGTATGTCTGTCATTATTTTGGTAAAACCTTCAACGTTTACTTTGATTCTTAAATGATTACTTCCCTGAAATAATGAAGCGCTGATTGATGTGAATGCTTCAAAAAGTATTTATCAAGGTCTTGTAAACTTACTTCAACATCGTTCACTAAAGATCGGTTTTATTATTATACACAATTGAGAATAAAGAAAATGTAAATTCCCTTATATCTGTACAAAGTCTACTATTTACAAGATATCTCTGTCCTTGTTTTAAAGATGCACAATGATCTGCTTCATGAATATGAAATCATCATATTTAACTAAATACAGCGTCAAGCACCGTTTTTCAATAAATAGAAAGAGTTGGTGGTGCATGAAGCAAGCCCTCACACCATTTACTATCTTTATACATCTACTAAGAAGTTTTTAAAATGGAGAAATTACATCTTACTTTCACGCTGAATTACGAACGGCCATAATTACTTTTGTTGGTAAATACTGTAGGTCTACTGATCTCTCCTGGTTGTTAGTATAATGAATTGATAATGCTTTATTCCGCAGCCCAAAGTGTTCCTCTGTTTGAATAATTCAGGCCCTTTCCGGATACTATCAAATCTGATCTACTACCCTGGAATTATATGGCATAAACCAACAGAGTGTCCAGGAAAGTGGCTCAGTCATTGTCTCGGGAACCTTTATGGTGGCGCTGTATACTTTACAGCTGGAAGATGAAATAAAATGCCGATATAGTGTCCAGTGGTATTATTTACAAATGTAAACGTCCTTCGTAAGTTTGCATCGTTTGCATTTCACGTAGCAGCACCACTTAAACTTACAATTGCACCTTTCCACCACCTCTACACGGTACGAGTTATACCCCCTCCCACAGCACATTAAATCACACCCATCCGTGCCAATCGATGTTTTGTTGCATTCCCTTCCTTTTGTGCCTAACGATCCTGTTTCTTCGTTCGATAAACAATAATTCGGGGACTGCTGTAGATAAACCAAATCCTCTTCGGAGGGCCGATTGAAGCGTTTTTCAAAAATGTCCATCTTTCCTTTCTTGTTGACGCGAACCTTTGACGCTCCGTCGTATTTCTCTTTCAAATAGCTTCCAATGACGCGAAACGGTGGTAATTGCAACCAGCAAGTTGTTAGACTACATGATCCAGACACACCATGACATTTGCACTGGATGTCAGTCTTGGCGTAGATAGCCTATGAAAAATAGAAAGATTAATATATCATTCTCATGTTGTTACGCTACACCTGTCAAATATGTTTTATTATTCTTGGGTTTCAGAATCTATCGTTAGCATTAAACATTATTGTAAATTATATCAGATATCACAGTTAGCTTCAACTTGTTTAGAAACGCAGTTTTTCACAAGTGCGCTGCATCGGTTCTCTTTTGACGCAATTAACGTGTACGGTATATATTTTAACGGCTGGCGTTACCTCAACAAATCAAGGTTAAAAAGTTCCGGATGTTTATATTTCAAACAGACCCAGAAGGATTATTATGCTTTGGCAAATTATTCAGAAATCAATTAGACGCGACATTTTGCCTATTAAAGTGCTGAATTCCGACATACAGCAACAGCGATACCATAAAACCTCGTAAAACTTGAAAAGCAGCGCCCCTCTTAAGTTTGCAAAAATAATGTCAAAAAGAAGGCCATCTTGAAAAGAAGCTCATGGGCTTCTAATTAAAATAGGATGAGCTTCTTTTCGGGATAGTAGGCCCTACTTACGTTCAGACTGACGTTATCTTTGATGATTATGATAGCGTGTCTGTATCAATATTATTTTATTGTACTAGCATGGCTAAAAGTAAAAAATATTAAACAAAATATCGAATTCTATACTTGGAAAATGCAGTATAGTAGCAATTACAGATATTTACAGCATTCATTTGAAAAAAAACGCCCCCTCTTTAATTTGCAAAAGTAATCTCGAAAAGAAGGCCATTCAAGGGTCATAAAAAAGCCAAGAGTTTCTATTCGAGGTTTTACGGTATTAAAGATGCGTATTATGAATGTGATAATGAAAAATTGATGGTAAAGAAAATTCAGATGAGTCATCTAGTGCAAGAATGTGCATTGCAAGACCAGTGAAGGAAGGAGAAAAACCACGTTTATTATCAGGGGAAGCAATCTTTTTACATCGAAAGCCTTATAATCCATAGACTTTACAAATTATCTTTATAATGACATGTTTATTTCCAACGACAAGTTGTAGTATGCTTTACTACATATGGTGGTATGACCTCTGTTGACGAACTTCCAGCTCAAACACGTCTACTAAAGCTTGAAGAAATCGCATAATCCACAGAGGAGAAATAAATCTTTTTTTTAACAAGGATGTCGATTTACTTTCCACAGATCAAGTACGGTATTAAACACTATATCGTATTGTCTTCGTTAATTAAACGCTATATCGTATTCTGTTCGTTAATTAACAGTATGTGCTAATTAATAATAGGCCTATATACGAAAATACAAGAATATATAGGTAGGTCTATAAATGAAAATGTATAACTAACATTTGGATTAATAAGTTATGCACGTGGGATACATTCAGTTGGTTCTGGTACTGGTTCTGGTGGGTAAAGATCGACCTGCAAAGGGACTCTAAAAGTGTAGAAGCTGAGTACGGAGGAAAAGGGCAATGGCATATCTAAGGGAAGGGGGCGCATGCTATCCAAAAATAGAATTATGGAGATGGTTAGGAAAGAGGAGGGAAGCAGGAATAGCATATCGGAGGATGTTTCCAATGAATCCAATTGTTTAATCTCTGTTCTGCAGTCGATAAGGCGAGACTTTTTTTATACCTTGCTTCGCGAACCCCCCCCCCCCCTTTTTTTTTTAAAGATCATCAGAGGAGGGCGAAAAAAAATAAATAAAATTGTGCTTTTTGCGCGACACCTTTGCAAGGCTTGTTCTGCGATGTCAAATGTAAGTTATATGTAGGTAGGACTAGATGTTTGATTTCACTACGGGGACAGCTACGGTACGCAGTGCATGAATTGCCGAGAAAACGGTGTAGCGATTGTATGGAAATCGCGTTTCCATAGAATCGCTCACCCTATTGGATAGTTGTCGAGAAGGTCGAACCTAGTTCAAATTTGCTGATTGCGTTGCAGACGAATCGGGGTGCCTTCCCGATTGCGTCAGGGCAGCTAGCAATGCACCCCGATTCACCGATAGTGTGAGCCACTCTATGGAAACCGAGCTTTAGTAAGAGTTTCAGTTTTACATTACTTCAGTATATGTATAGCCTATGCTGGTATCTGTCATTAGCCCGCCGGTCAGTCATATGGTACATCGTCGACTCGTAGCAGCCCTAGCTAATGTAGCTAGACTAGGGAGGTCGTCCACAGAAACTACAGACTAGGGCTTACTAATTATGAGGGGTGGCGCCGGGATTTGCCAGACGGGGGTCCGATGTCTCCCTCAAGAGCAAAGTGCGCATTGTCGGACATTGTTGGTCATGGTGGGGGTAGCGAAGCCCCCAAAAATGTTGGATGAGTTGAAAGTGGTAATAAAAAAAAACATGCCAAGCAGTAGACACACGCTACCGCTGGGAGCCAATTTTTTATTTAGCAAATAATTTTTGCCAAAAACATCTAGAAGGAGGAAAAAATAAAATAAAAAATGATTGGTAAATGTAAACAGTGTAGTAATGGGATGAGTACCGTAATTTATATAATTAGAAAGAAATATACAAAGGCCTATCCTGTTTTTGAAGATTTCAAGGCAGTGGCGGGCATAATAAAAATAAAGAAAAACTTCTCGACTCATGACCTAAGAAGATGTTTGTTCTTGATCAGTAAAATCGAGCTTTCACGGGGACTGGATAAACAAATTCAACATCAACCAAGGGTTTTGATGTAATTTGTCTTTCGAGTCACTTAACCGGGCTAGCCTGTCACCCACGTGACGTAGTTCCGTTAAGATATAATAAATTCCTGTCAACTTATAAGTTTAACATAAATAATCGACAAGCATGATACATGGGCTAGATACCATAGTTTACTTTTGGTTCAACAGTTACTATACGGTCTAATAATATCTTGTCTACAACCGAATGAAATCCATTACGGGCGGTCTACTCATAACCAATAGGTTTAACGTACTGTATGCCTATAAAATTGGTTCAATAGATAGCCTCATAAAGAGTCGCATTGCTCTTGCCTAAAGATATAAAAATATCAGAGTTCCAATATTAAAAAAAAAAAACTAACAAAAAACAAAAACAAAAAACAAAAAACAAAAAACAAATAAAAAAGTGTATAAAATATCAACAGTGGCATTTTTAAGATTAAAGCTAAGTACAAACGAATTATTTCCAAATCATGTCATAGGTTCTTTATGTAGACCTTGTACTGTTCTACATTTAGGAATGAGCAGTAGGCTTAGAAATAAATAAAGAAGATATCGCAACAAGTTCCTATTTTCTCAATTCAGTACAAGCATATAGGCCTATTTCCTGGCTCATTTTCTTTGCACAATAAGTAAATACCACACATGTATTTTTTATTATGAAAAATTACTGTTTTGTTTGACTGTTTCTGAGGCTTGGTAGATGGCCTGGTATCCATAAAATCCCTACACGCTATCGCCGACAACTTTCAACGACGCTGATTGGTCGGTTGAATTTTCTTAAAATCGCTACACTGTCGCTACAGTGTTTTCACTGCAATCCTTGCACTGCGTAGCTGTCCCTGACGCAATCGGGAAAGCTCTCTGATTCAACTGACCAATCAGCGTCGCCAAAGGAGTCGGCGATAGCTTGTAGCGATTTTTTTTAATGGAAACCATGATTTGCAGTGAAAACACCGTAGCGACAGTGAAGCAATTCTATGAATCCAGCCTATGACACAAGTACTTAACAACTTCCGATATCGAAAATGACTTGGAAAGAATAAATTTAAGATGGCGTACTATAAGAAAATTTGACACATTGACTGCTATGACAACATTCCGCAGACGTGGGAGTCAACTGAATTTTTTCCCAATGCAGGCCTACGTGGAATACAGTGTAAACTTTTAAAACAACAGGGAAAAAACTTTTAAATTTTAAATTCGGGAGTTTTTTTTAAGATTCAGCATTCAACACCACATTTATCGAGTGTGGTCCATCAAATATTAAATTGAGTAAACTATTCATTCATAGTAACGCGTTTATCCCCACAGTAACGCATTCATTTACTCTGTAACATATTTTCTAACCTGTAACGCATTTATACACAATAAATCATTTATCTAGCCACCGCAATCAACGAGTCCATTATATTCATTCAATAATGCATTTAAACGGGCACAAACGCATTTCAGCAACTAATATTATGCAGCGTATGAAGCATGGGCATTGGCTATATCATAAAAACAAATATTTTTTTTAACTCATGGATTAACCAACGGTGAATATCTAAATGCTACAAGCTACTGATTGGACCAATTAATAATGACCCTACCTACTGTTGTAATTTCTATTCCAATTGCAAAATAAATAGGTGCCGTTGGATAGACATGTTTTAATCTAAGAGTAGAGAATTCAATGCTACCCGTTATACCTACGTTAATACTTAACGATTTGCAACCATCGAGCAGCAATAAGCATATCCTGAGTAGACCTGTTGTAATATTTTGGACTTGTAATAATTATTTTTGAACACAAAGAGAATATACTCAAACGCTAGCGTCTACTGTAGTAACTCAAGATTGTACTGATGGCAATTGTCATTAGTTGTGGAATAAAAACTAAAGTTTTATATTACTTAATGGAATTGATTCAACTCACGAGGGACGTAAGGCAAACGTTAGAGGACATTGTATATAATGCATTGATTTATGGTCGGTTTATTTTAAACATAAGAATACAATGCAACAATATGAATTTCAATGAAAGTGAACATAATATCTGTGGTTTTACTTATTTGATGAATTTTAAGGTGCATTTCGCACCAGAATCAATTTTTTTGAAGAAAAAAACCCAGTTATTTACAACAACTTGAACACGCTCCATCCAGCCCAACACAAGACTTGTAAATTCAACATGTTTCAATAGACTTCGTTACCTGTGCTCAGTTTTAGCTTTAGACATTTTCTGACAGGGGTCTAATGATTTTGACAGGGGGTGGCCTCAATCAGGTTCCTAAAATAATATCCAACGTGTGGTCAAATGGTCAACTTTATTATTGGATTGGAAAACTTACTTTTAGTCCGACGACTTACCGTGGCGTCGGAAGACGGAGTTGGGTGGGTGGGTGTCAGAAAAGGGGAATTTCCCTTTTTATCCACACTGGCGTTACAACTGACTATGCTATTGCTGTATGCCTACCACAAACTCATTCAAATGCTTGTGGTTTTGCTGAGACACTTGTGTTTCGAATGATAAGCATCTCTTCTGATCACCCTATCCAATTATACAGTAGACTAACCCTGTTACTTTCTAAGAAATTGTTTAGGGTGTGTGAACCGTACCTTAAAATTCGTCAAATAAGTAGAACCACAAATACCATGCCACGTGTTCAGTCACGCCACTTGGCTCTATGCAACCACAGATGAGCTATGGCGAATACATTGCACGGGCGGGGATAGTTTGATAAATACCAGGGGCGGATCCAGTAGGGGAAACGGGGGAACTGCTCCCCTACCCCCGTGTTGAAACTGAATTTTAAAATTTCAATGCATGTATTGAAATTAGCGATACTCGCTTATCAATTCTGAATAGGTTGTGAACCCCCCACCCCTGTTTGAAAAATTAATTTTGGATCCGCCCCTGAATTCACTATAGGGCCTAGTTAAAATCACTTACTCTTCTCCCTGCCTCATTGTTGTGTAGGTTCATTTTTATTCGTTTGGATTCACTTGATCCTTTTTGTGGAGTTGAATCTTTTTCCCTGATGTCTACGAAATTCTTACTGAATTGGTACCCATATTCGACGTTGTCCCCACATCCGCCCCATATCCATTCCTTTGGAAGGTCGTCGGGCCTAGAGGCTCTGCTGCAGCCACACGTCTGTAGGCTACCTTCACGGCAGTTTCGACTGATGGAGTTGATGACACCAGCTGCCGAAATCGCATGCGTAAATGCGGCTTCTCTGCTGGCTGTACAAAACGGAAACAAAAGTGAATAACTGATTACTTATTAGGTCTACATCAATCAGTCAATCAATCAATCTGTCAGTAAAGTTAGTCTGTCAGTCAGTCAATCAATCAATCAATCAATCATCAACTAATCGATAAAGAATCAATCGACCAACATTTAATCAATAAATCAATTTAGTGTAGTGATCGGGCTATTAATCAGTCAATAATTCAATCAATCAATCAATCAACCAACCAAATATTTTATTATGTAATATTTGGTCAAACATAAAAATTGAGCGAGATGGATATGTAGTGCTTAAAGTACTTTCGGATGGGACAAATAGCCGGTGGTCCCCTAAATATAATACCACGTGCGCACAAAAAAGCACAATGCACTATGAAAATAGTGATTATCTCTCGGTGTACTAATCAGGCGCTGCACTGCGGACGCCGCGAGTTCCCATGGGCCTGATATAAATTAGTTTTTTGCACCAAGGATCATGCAGTTACATTTACAGTTACTTGTTGTGTGGGTATCCGGCACAAGAGTGCCAACCGTATCGTACTAACAAATACCTCAACGTCACTAAAATCTATGATTTGATAGCCTACCTAAAAACTCGGTTATATGTTTAGTAATATTATTGTGGTGGTTATCTAGACCAAGGTGACACTACAAAAGCGGTCTAGTATATTTTCTAACAAAGGCATCGGCACCAGTCCTCCTCGTTCTAAATTTCACAAATGATCACGGATATTTCTAGTATTTGATTTGATAATTTTACACAATATGAATGCATGGGTTTGCAAAGATAGTCGGATCATATTATGTTTAACGTTTGATAAAAACGATTTTCGAACTTCTAAACAAAATTCTGACAAGTAGTTCATTGTACTGAGAACAAACACCCATCCGTCTACAGAGGGAAAAGTTACTGAAAAATTTGCGGTTTTTTTTGGCAAGCAATAAGGTGTCCCAGTGGAGTAACGGTAAAAATCGCTCAGAGGCTCTGATGATGAGCATTGGTTCTATGAATAGGTTGACAGGTAGAGCTTAATAAACTTCAATGACGATCGGAACAATAGGCGGACAAAGTTTCATTCGAAATCGTGTGAGGCAAGTGAAGAGAACGACGGACAGGCAATAATTGGTTTGGTGAGCTCTGGCTGCGAAGCTATCAATTATTCATTGACATAAGTACAAACAAAGGCAAGTTAGATTGATCTGTACAAAAGCTTGTTTCGGTTACACAAGTAAGTACTTGGCGAACGTGACCCGTTATGTAGGGACGTTAGAACATATTCGAAGGTTTTTTTAGTAATTCCCATGGTACAGGCTACCCTGAGGTGGTAAACATGCATACGCATAACTCATGGGATTCGTTCTTACTCCCATGGTCAACTATTTAACACGACTTCTATCCCATCCATTCGTTGATATTCGAAGAGCAGATGAACTTGATTAACCCTAAAATGGTATGATTGAGTGATGTTGGGGTACCGTATGCTAAGGGAAGGGGTGGTACTGCGCTAAGATGCCAACAAGTGGATTCAACTGCCCAGTAATGGTTTTGAAAAATTATAAATGATATTTGTTTATGTACGCTATCTAAATTTACAGGATAACATTGCTTTCTGACGTAGTAGATAGTATTGTACCGTGCATTTTTTTTCACCAGAGACTAAATCCATACAACCAACAAGTAAGCACGATCTAGTAAGGTCAAGAAACACTCGGCCACTCTCATGCAATACGCACTGGTATGTCATTCCTATGGAATATGGACTAGAACACGATTAGAAATTACTACATACACACATTAATTGTCAGTAATCAATTTGCCTTGCGGATTTTCAAGCTCTAACAAGTTTAATACCATAATGGATAGAGTCTCCCGAGTACCAAAGGAACCATGGACCGGGTACCTGGTCCTCAATCATACACGACTATTGTAAACTCTGTCCGTTCCATCGATTAAATTCGTCGCTTCACTAACAATAATTGAATATATTCCTATGTTTTCTGCTGTTACCGGTGCATGATCCCAAATTGGCTTGTACAGTATCACTTTTTTCGGAGCTTGTTTCATACTATCGTATGTCAAACTTATCAGTGAACCCCATAATCCCAAATGTTTTTAAATAACTGATTGATTTGCCAGAGCGAACAATGATGAAAGTTAGAGAATAATTTTGTATGAGTTGCGCGCGGTCTTATTTTTTTTAATTTATTTTTTTTTCGAACAGGCCAACAAGTTCCGCAATAAATTTATGCTACATTTCAGACTGGTAAATTATACAATGATGCTGCTGATAATGATGATGATGATGATGATGATAATACAGTATTACTGTAATAAACTGTATTTATTCGAATAAACGTTTATTGTTGAGAAGGGTGTATGAGGGGACGTTTATTCGAGGGAGGCGTTTATTTTTGTTGGTTTAAAATGGATACGGTACGTAGGCCTATCGGTACTCAAATAAACGCACCTCAATTACATTGTAAATGTGGAACTACAACACATAATTACCGTCAAAATGTGTTATTGCCTGATCAGTAAGACTATCCGGTTAGAAAAAATGTATTTCTGCTGGAGTAAAACATAATTAGAATGTGTTGAGAATAACGTTAATACTTCCATCCATTGTTTCCAGCCATTTAGGGGCGTTTATTCGTGAGAGGCGTTTATTCCAAATGAGGCTCTAGGGGGAATTTATTCGAGAGGGTGTTTATTCAAAGCAGGAACTTATTCGATAAATACGGTAATCGTAACACAGTAGCAGAGGTAACTTGAGTTTGTCGGGTAGGGAAGGGGCAGCGAATCGTATGGTGTCAAAGTGGAAAGGGTTTGTGATGCTCCCACCCCTATTATCTTATTGTGAGGTACAGGGATTTTAGATTAGGCCTAATCTCGTATTTAAACAATGTCACACTTGGTTAGAGATTATTGTTTGCTCACTGCTGGGGTGGCGATTGCTCCTTTGGATTCGGCATTGTTTGTATCGGTAACACTTCCTTGGATTAAACTCTGATAGTAATACGCCTATCATATAACACTTTTTATTAGTGAAGAACGGTAGCTTATTTTATATGTATATGTGTGTATGTATGTGTATGAGGTGTATGCTTGCGTATGTGTGGCCTTATATACATGTAGGGTATACAGTATGTGTACTGTATTTAACAAGATAAATTCGGGTTGGGAGCGTGATGTTAGTGAAGGGTCGAGTGTGGTTCGTCGACTGGGGTTCCATAATATTATGGAGCTTTCGTTAATGAGCTATGCTGGGTGCGTTGCTGGCATCGTGGTCCTAATTTGAATACTGTTCGCTGTCTATTATGTTAGGACTTTATTTTATACGTATTATACAATGTTAATAGCAAACTATCTTTTTTTATTATTAAACAAGGTAATGTTGCTGCATGAGCAATAATCTTACTATTTTATATTTAGTTTTCACTTTACCTTGTTTGTTTTAGGTTACTACCATCTTTATATTGTTTTTATGCTTGCTTTCTTGATAGTCTTTGAAATTTATTTCTGATGTTTTAATAGGCTATTTGTAGTTTCTGAACGCACCGCCAAATTGGCGTGTGCCACTGATACAAAAGTGTACGTTCAAATAAATTATTATTAATTATTATTATTATTATTATTATTATTATTTTATTATTATTATTATTATTATTATTATTATTATTATTATTATTATTATTATTATTATTATTATTATTATTATTATTATTATTCGGGAAAAAATGATAAATGATGGCTTACCAATCCTCATTACTCGGCCAAAAACGGACTCTTGATCGGAAGTGCTGCAGTTCCATCGCTGATCTCTGAATTGATATTGACATTCCTCGATTCCAACCTTAGCCCCTTCACCTATAGGCCCCATGTGGTCGCTATACAGGTTGCAAAGCTTTCGTTGCCCTGGTGACAAACCAGGTAGTTGAGTACACATCTGCTGCGTGCCAAATATCAACACATCAGGATTTCGTAAGGCTTCGTATTGATTGAATGATGACTCTAAACCTAGTGCCCTGTAATGACGCATTTACAACTTATTATTTGAATAAATTTCTCATAAGTTAAGTCAAAAAGCATACCCTAAAGATCGAAAAATGATAACCACGTTTTATTATAATTCCTCCCAATTTCACAAAAAAAAAAAAAAAAAAAAAAAAAAAAATTAAAACCGTTAAGTTTCATAGAACCTAAATAAAAATTAAAGTTGTGTTGGAGCCATATCAGTGATAGGTGCCTACAGATACGTAACGGATACCGATCGATATAAAATAATTGACGGTAATCACTACAGCTAATCGATTGTGATCGACATTACAAAAGAATAATGTTTTCATAGATTAGGATTAACAAAGTGGACTTTTATTGTTATAGTCATCGTCAACTATTTGCGAGGTAACTTAGGACTATAACTCGGATATTTTTACAATTGAGTCAAAACTTTGTATTACAGTACCCGTATGTTACCGCATTATTGTCCGAAATACAGGCCTAAATGTAGATGAAACTCGCTGAATTGATGAGCTGAATAAGGGCGTGGCCTGTGACTACACCGTAACAGCCGAAGAGGGCAGCTTTTAGCCTTAATGTTCACATTAATTCTCGACAGAACCCCTAAATTACCGAAAGTACTACTACATTACGAATTGTTAAAATATTGGGCCCTACTCTGACATAAGAATACAGGGGCCAAATCTATACCTACCATGTTTCGTATTGAATTTTATGCGCCTTTTTTTTTTTTTTTATGTATATTCCGTTTACAGTAGAATTCAGTATTCTATTTCCTAACTTACTTAACTGAAACTTACTGGGCAGCTTATTTCCATGCTTTTCACACTCCAAATATGCATGTTCACGTGGTTCCTTTATTTGTTTTTCAATGAAGCATATCCCGTTTGTACGTTTTGTTTTAACAGTGACAGAGGACAAATGCATTTTGTACTTCAGTAGGCCTAAACGTAAACACCGAATTCTTAACAACATGTTTTCAAGCCAACATTTTGGAATCGTTATAACGAGAAATTGTGTCTAAGTACTAACCGTAATTTCATACATATGTAATATACTGTAATGACCAAATATACATAGGCCTAGGTCAATGATAATAATGACATAATTATGAAAATTAATTTTAATAATTTATTACCATCGTCATATTTATTATTATTATTTATATTCTTGTTTTTTCAATAATATTAATAATATTATTGCTTTTTAAAATTAATCTTTATATTACTATTAATATTATTAATTGTTATTATGCTTATACCAATATATGGTGATTATCATAGCCTCTGCCTTGCGCGATTATGTAATGTAACATGATGATGTACTACACTACTAAAAGGAAAGTTTCCCATTTACACTAATTTACCCTTTCAAAAAACGCAGATGTCTTGACGTTTCGATTCATACACTTTGATGTTCATCAAGAAATGATGACGAGGAAACCTATTATTGTATTGAACAAATTAGTGTTTCCTTTGTGCGAGCCATATCATAATATATGAGCTTAACACACATCAATCAAACTATAATAGCGGCCAACCACAATGATGAAATAATATTTACAACACTAGTTAAATATTTAACTAAATATAAGAGTGTCGTTATCGCGGTATTCTAAGGCCGTGAGATGTCTTTTACGTGTTGAACAAGTAGATCAGTTAATTCAAATCTTCGGATTCGAATAAGCCTTTCGTGCAACAGGTGCAATTGGTAAGTATTGAAACTAATCCGATAAAGTTTTAGAAACAAATTTAAGAAGGTTGGTACAGTGTTTAGAACATTCTTCTCCTGTTCAGTTAAGTACAGTATACGTTTAAAGTCACCACCATTCCGATTTTGGTGGATTTCTTTTTAATGGACTTATTTTAGGTCCAAATTGGAGACAACACAGAAAATGGCTAATAAATTATTGCAAAAATTAATTGGGGTATTCTCTGTCCACCTCTCCGTTCACGAAGAGAAACGATTTATCAAACATAAACGTATTTTATCAGTAGGCCTAACTGTATAATGATTAATAGGTGCATACATAATTTCTACCTTATTTTCACTGAGGATGTGTCCCCCAAAACGAGGCAGTGGTATTGCTTTGTGTCTTGTTTACCCCACTTGTTTGTCAGACATTGCATTGTCACGAAAATGATATTTACCGATGTAAGTCAATCGTCAAGAACGGTTCATCATTCGTAGGCCTGGTGAATATGTTGAGATTTTTTATTCTCTGGACATTTGTATCCAGTGTTAAACTGTTACAATTTCCCCTTCAAGAATTCGCACTGGGGAATCTGTGTCTACCTTGTGGATCTTGAAAGGCAGCGCATTATTTTGTGAAGTTATTTCAACATTTGCCCTCAATATGTCAATCAGAGTCCCATTTTGTGAAGTTATTTCAACATTTGCCCTCAATATGTCAATCAGAGTCCCAACAAGGAAACGTGCCCGAGGCGTCTACGCAAGAGGGGTGATCATTTAAACGTGCCCGAGGCGTCTACGCAAGAGGGCTGATCATTTAAACGTGCCCGAGGTGTCTACGCAAGAGGGCTGATCATTTAAACGTGCCCGAGGCGTCTACGCAAGAGGGCTGATCATTTAAACGTGCCCGAGTGTCTACGCAAGAGGGGTGATCATTTAAACGTGCCCGAGGCGTCTACGCAAGAGGGCTGATCATTTAAACGTGCCCGAGGTGTCTACGCAAGAGGGCTGATCATTTTGTTTTCTTTATGGATCTACAAACAAAATTGAAACATCGATTCTAAGGGGTTTACGACAATTACATTGGTATGTTTTTTGGCGTCAAGGAGACGTTTGGTGTTAGAATTTTAGAATGACACGTTTCAACTGATTTTTTTTAAAGGGGAAAGGTTTTAACTGTAGCTTCAAAAAACTTGTATTCAAAACGTGATGTTTTGGTTTTTCATTTGTGATTGGATACTATTAGTATTCGTTCCTTTCCTAGGAACTACTGTATTTTATTTAATCAAAATGGAGTAATCATTGACTACTCGCGTCTTCCCTAACTAATATAACATAATATTATAGTGTACGGTATAGGCTTTATCTTCAGACGGTGCTGTGAATTAAAATAGGTTAAATAATCAATCAATTTATTGAAAAATGCTTTTGTATCACGCACCTTGATTGTGTATCCTACAAAGCCTAGGCAATAATTAATTTATATGTTGAAAGCGTTAACAAAACAGAAAATTCATTTAAAGTCTGTTTAAGTCTCTTTTAAAAATAATAATAGCGTAGGATTATTCGATCAAAATCGGAGAAATTAATTACCGGGTATACTGAAGAGCAAGTTGTACAACAAGTTGGAAAATTCACACAAGATTATTAATTTTAAACTAATTACCGTATACTAGATAGAATAACTATTGTCTATCAGTTATCTTTGAATTTGTATCCCTAGTATTTCATGTTACCGCCTTTTATTTACCGCCTTTAATTATATGCAAATTCATCATGATTAGGCCTACTATAGAATGATTATCTAAATCGCTTTCTCAATTGTTTATCTCAATTGCTGGTTTTTGTTAGATTGTTAATCCTATCTAATCACCATCATACGACGTTGTGTCGCTGAAGAATGGCACAGGCGTCTATAATATAAAGTCAACGTAGGCTTCTTATTTTGATTGTGTGTTTACATTGTTTGTGTGTATAAAAAAAAACATACGTGAAACTAACACATTATTTAGGTCTATTTACGCATTGACATGTTTCAGTAGTGAATAAGCTAAAAAAAAGTGTGAAAAACATAAATTTACGTTTAGGTTTTTATGAAAAAAAAAGTCATTTTTATCTGGAAGACACCATTGTCTTCTTATAATATTATCACTAGCCCAGTGACCAAACCTTCACAATTTATATATAAATATAGCATTACAGCAAGACGGTATATAGTTATAACTTGGGCAGAGTGATTAATATGAATTAATATTAGTAACAAATAGAGCTGAATAACTGACAAGGGTTGAAGCGGAAATAAACTTTAGTATGGAATGGAGAAAAAGATAACCACAACCAGGATTCGGATCCGAAAGCCTCTCCTGTCTACGCAGAGACCTTACACATGGTAAAGCCTATTTAATTCAATGGACATTTAAATGTATTGAATTACATACAGTATCATAACAATTATACTGTGCTTTGCAATGTTATATGTGAATTAGCTTTACTGATTACTTACCACCACGTCGCATCTAGACTCTGTGAAGTTTGGTTATGGGGCAAAAGTAAGACGATAAATATCCACAGAAAATACCGCACAGATGCCATGCTTCAAAACTGCTTGATCTAATCCTTCCGCTGTCAAGTTTGCAAAGAGTGCATTTGTCGTAAATACTCAGCGGATGAATAAACACTCCGTCCGGGTTACCGATAATGCAGCACGCTGTATACTGGTCCAGTGTATACTCGCCTCGCACCCCCAGTCCTTTCGCTTTACCTGAAAGGATAATGACGTCATAATTAGCCTCCATCCAGCGGTACGTCAATAAACATGTCTGAAACTATGGTGGCGTTGTGTTGATTTGTGTATCGCACGTTAATGGGTTTTAACATTAAGTACCAGGCGTTGTCTGGTTTTCCGTAATAAGAAGATCCCATCAAACTATAGTCTATAGCGCCTGTCAAGTTAGCATTTTCATATTGAATATAATATCAAATGTAGCCATGGGCCTATCCGCCAAATTGTTTAGGGAAGGAGAGATGCTGACATAAATATTGCATCCCTTGCTTTAAATAAAAAGCACTCAAACAGCAGAGTATGAAGTAACCTGAAAACATGGAACTAAACTATAAACCTGCTTGAAGCAACGGCAGAGGAGCCAGAATTACCGTTCCGTTTTCCAGCACTTAACCCCAGTGAGGGCTAGCTGTGGCGGATCTAGGAATTCGAAATAAAGGGGTCCCTGGGAGAGGCTTTCACAGACAGAGGGCTCAGCCCCACCATGGTTGGGGCTGAGGTAAGAAAAATTATGATTCAAGCACTTCTATATGGCCGGAAATTGCACTCTCAGACTTCTGAATATATTTTAATATTTTTTTTTTCTAAATTGTTTAAATTTTGGGGGAAAAATTAGGGGGCCCTGGCCGGCTGCACCACCCCACCCCTTTGAATCCGCCACATATCAGGTTCGTAGCAAGTGCTGAACATTGTAGCAGTGTTCATGTTTTAGTGGTTTAAGATGCTCCATGTCCTTAGTTTAATTCCTGCAAATACCACAATACTTTTTCTCATGATTGAAAGAGATCTCCATGGTTACATCATGATACTTGGTTTAATAATCTTTATGAGATCATAAGAGCAGAGTTAACATATGGCTTAGTACACCCTAACTCTACACACAAGGTAGATGGATAGATCCGAGAAGCCAATGGACATCCTGCAGGGGTGGTGTCAAGATTTGCCCGACGAGGGTCCGATGTAGAAGACTCCCCGACGAAAGCGTAAGTGGGCGTGGTCAGGCATCGCTTAAAATATCTTGGAAGTGATACAGAGGCGGAGCTCCCGGAAACCAGTCTCAGTCTTAGTTTGCAGTTTAAGTGTTTAAGTGACCACTGCTTGGGTATTTACTCAAGAGCTTGGGTATTTTGAACTGGACCTGGGTTCTTGGGTATTCCGTTAAAATCCTTGGGTTTTTTTTTTTACTAAAAAAATTAAATATTTTTGTCATAAAGGAAGAATTAAGAAGTAACAAAGTATATTTCAGTTCATTCAAGTAAGCAAGACTCAACGAAGTGCACATAACATTGTTAATTGCCTGTTAATTTTATAAACATGGGTTCAAAATTGTTTATTTGTGATTTGCGTTGCCATTGATCTTACCTAATTAAAGCATTACATAATAAAACTTAGGAAAGTATAATACATACTCCAAGTATTGAAATACACGCCATCGTGTTGGGATTCAATATTTCGACATTAACTATGTCATCATCAGGAAGTTTCCTGATGATGACATAATTAATGTCGAAATATTGAATCCCAACACGATGGCGTGTATTTCAATACTTGGAGTATGTATTATACTTTCTTATCTGAGATTAATCAGTGGACCTTTCGGTTTTTAATAAAACTTGGTAACTGATCTACTAATAACACTACTGGCCGACTGAGGGCGTATTTTTCTATCCGTATTATCACCCTCATGAATGTTAATTTTAATAATTAACACAAACAATTACAATAAAAAATGGTTTAGAGAATGAACTAAATCTTTTCTGGATGCACCGTTAGGTTTTGTCTAACGTGTGTCACTGTTATGAAAGTGTAATCCAAAAAATATTATTGTATTTAGGACAATTAGGAGTTCTTATTTAATCGATTCTGTATGTGTGTATCCTAATTAGTATGAAGTAGTCTACTGTAGTCTTCAGACTTTAAACTAATTGTTTAAAAGTTAAGTTTATATTGTTGACAATTTTACAGTACAGTACCTCGAAAATTTAAGACTATTCTATTTTTCTACCCTATATTATTTCTGTGTGTCGCTTGGATGCACCATACGTTTTGTATGAGTGCCACTGTATCAAAAGCGGATCCAATAAATTGATTGAATTGATACCGTACTGTACTATCTTCTTGGTTAAACTAATACATTTTTTCTTCTCCCCGACGAATTGAGTCTTGCTCCTCACTGGTGCCACCTTTGACATCCTGTGTGCACGTCTATAACATGAACATCCAAAAGCAAAACCAGTACCATGTTAAAAAATGATAATAATAAAAAAAGAAATCAACAGTTGAGCACTTGCATTGTCAGATTAACACAATATTTACGAGACAGAAAGATATTGTAATGTAGCCTATATAATATTTTCGTCGTTAAACAGTTTATTAGGTGCTATTGTACTGTATTATATATTTATACTTTGTGATGTGTAGGCCTATGTAGTTTTGTGTAAGCTTAGAAAAAACAAATAGTTTACATGACAATAAGCTTAATCTTGAATCTAGATATAAATAAATCATTGATCTGGGATATTTGGTGACTTCTTGGTTGTTTGCATTTCACGTCTTGTTTATTGAAGTCTGAACGTCTTGGGTTTTCTATTAATAATCAATCTTACGTCAAAGTATAAACCACACAGGTCCTACAGGGCATGTGGTATTTTGGTGTATGAGATGACATTATCACGAATGATTTGATAAATATCACGCGAGTTTGTGAATAAACCGGTAAGTTTGTATAAGAGTCGAAATCAGGTTTTTGACAGACGTCCAAACGAATGTGTTTCATTACGTTATGAGACCATCACAATAACAAAGAAATTGCTTGGAAGACCACTTGAGCAACGAGCCATTTTAATATCCGGCCTGTCCCCCACCCCCACCTAAATTTTTCAAAATAAACAAAAATGAATAAAAAAGAAAATTATATTCAAATTTTAAGTCTGAGAGGGTAATTTCCGGCAATATAGAGGTGCCATCCATAGTCATAAATGTTCTTGCCTTAGACCCTCCATCTTGAGTGTCCCTCCCCGGGCCCTCGATTTCAAATTCCTTGATCTGCCACTCATAATTATGTTTTTAAAATGGCAGATATCAGTGGGTTTAAGCATATTGTTAAGCAATCAATATTTTCCATGTACTATACTACCCCACCATGACAAAAGGAAGCAACGACGTTTGTATTACTTTATTACAATTATCGTTATTTTCAAGAATTTTTTCCACTTTCGCAAATTAATCGTGATTTAGGAGTAAATGCTGCCCTCAGTTGCCGGCGACGAAGTTTTACATATGCTCTTCGCGATTGACGGCACAAGGTATCATAGTTGGAAACTTGTGTTTCCACCACCATGTTATTACGTACCGAATGTGATGAGCTTCATAAATTTAGCCATTTTTTGGAGTATTCACTTACAAAGAATAACTCTGCTTATATAACCATTCCGCTATGCTTAATTAAAACATTGTTTAATCTGTAACGTTTATCTCATTTTACCGCTTTGATTTCTGCTGGGCTCCGCAGTAGAATAAGCAGCATAAACTACGTAGATAATTGGTCTGTATTTACCTCACAATAGTGTTGTTTATTGTACATTAATGCAACTTTTATCAGTCAACTTTTGTGCACTCAGCTAGGTTACGATACAATCTAGAAGACTGGCCAAAAAGTTAGTTTGGGTGACTTAAAATAGAACCTTCCGGATGGCAGAAAATCAATTGAATATGAATATGATTATGACTCGGGGTGCGATTGGTCCTTAAATTTTCTGTTACTCGCAAATTTAACTGACTAGTTGGTCTATGGTCACATGGAAGAAGGGAGAGAGGGTGGGGTAGAAAACACACCGATGAAGCGAGTTACCCCTACATGGAGCACGGAAGGCACCAGGATGATGACGTAAGCATTGCGCCTATAAATTAATCACATACACTTGTGGGATAATGATTTTGTAATCAAAGTTATTATGGCAAACTATTAACTATGCCTGGCCTACATTGGCGGCTGTGGCTTGAAAATCCTTATCTTTCGATGACATATTGATTTTTGACTCTAGAAACTACTGTCCTTCTATTTCTTACAATGCCGGGATTCTGGGGGAAACGTCCGCGTTCGGAAGTGTGTCCAAATCTTGCCAAGCTGTCCTAATTGCAAAATGAAACAACACAAATTATAAACGAAGATAGGTGTGTATTATATTAGATTCAATATTGCAGGGCTATAGTGTTCTTCTTAAAATTGGCGGACGTATTTTTCTGCATAATTAATTATGTAAATGATCCGTAAATGAGATATTTTTCTTTAAAGCCCCACGTACCAAAAAAAACCTGGCAATAATTGCCACTTTAGCTATTTGAGATGTTAGAACGTACGGTACGGTACGGTACTATTTGGCATAACATTAAAGAAAAATATTTTAGAGGGACCAGATTCAGTTCCACGAGTTGGATTAACACGACTATATATATATAGAGGATATTAATCGGCATTTTTTTGCCAGATGGGCGAAATCGTGTAAAAAACGTCAAAATACGCCTTAAAAAACGTCAAAAACACCGGAGCGGAGGGAGAATCGCTACCCCTACCATACTGGGCCTTACACTTTCCCCAGCCTCCTGTAATAGGACCAGAAGAACCCTTAGGCAGAGGTTGAGGCTTTTTCTTTACGCCATTGCGTCATCATAGTGTATCAAATAAGTTAACCGTAACGATAGCATCATATTTATTATTTGAGAGAGATAAAAAGTATTGATTTGAAACATCTCGAGGTACATTAGGTGCTAAAATCGGCCTACGGGATTACTCTTACTCACTGACCTAACTTGGTTCTAGCTTGAAGGGCTCTATGTATGTTTTCAACGAATAGGCCTATATGGAATCAAGCTACTTTCATATAAAATTCCAGATAGGTCTGGCAATCTGTCAATCGTATGAGTCAAACGATATATTGACAGTCTCACTAAGCGCGGAATCAATCTCCGAAGGGTAGACTTGTAACGAACCGCCGGGAAGGCATCAGCCTACCTTTACTGTAGTTAATTTCATATGTAAATCGACTAACCAAAGTTATTGAGTACGCGAGTGTTGGGCTAGAGTGTGTGGTAAACCTAAACGGAAGACTCCGTTACCGAGACATGATTCTGATAGCAGTTGAGAGGCGGGAAGGGGCATAGTGGATCGACGCGTAGGCACGTGCCTTCTTGAAAGCAATATCCCATGTAATCTTTATGATCCCTAAAGTAATTTTTGGTGATAAAAATGTGATGACTCGAAGAAAAAACGTATTTGAAATTAACAGTGGGAAAAGTACAAGGCTAAGGACAGCAACAGTCGTGCGAGATGGAACGCACGCGGAGATATGTGAGCTTGAATCCCCAGGGGGCGTACTCTGCATCAAATTTACCAGTGCTGAGTGTGGTTACACTGTCTAAACCCACAGCGTTAGTCATGGGTTATCGTGGAGGGAAATAATAGAATCCATACTAACGCATAATTCTTCTATTTAGAAAAATAATTTCAAATATGAATCTGATTATTTTTACACTGTTTACTTGAGCTAGTGCCCCATATATAATTTTTCATTTCGTTAAAATCAATACTAGCCCCCTACGAAGTCAGAAAAAAACATTACGTTGATTTTTGATAATTTTTTTGTAAAACTGTACATCAATTAGCCCAATTCATTGCAGCACAAACAAACGAGGAGTGCAATATTCTTTAAAACTAACAAATTTGCAAGTCACAAATTAATTCCTTTTGTAGATAGTGACTCTGATAATACATATCTTGAGACACACGTTTCGCGCCTGCGTAATTCTAAATCTTGCCACATCATTCTGATCGAGTAACTCATTTAGTCTTATGAGCAGAAATTTCCTGACTATAATTTCGTCCCAATCTAATTATTCCGATAATACTAGGCCTCCTGATTTCAATGCTGTTGCCAACACACAGAATAACCCCCAACATGATCACAACAGGTGAATGAAGCCAGCGGTATCTCTTCATCCTTTCCTTGCTTGATTTAAAAAAATCATATTCTGATTAATATCTTCACGTTTTTCGCGAGATAGACTTGCGCAATCTCGTCAGTCGTTCTGGAATTTATTCTACAAATAAAATTATAAAAATATGGAGAGAATATGAAAAGGCCCAATTATATAATATTGATGTGTGCGAAAATCTAACATTCGTATAATTTCGATATGAAACTGAAACCTAGCCCTCCAATTCTAGACCGTCCCTGTTTGACCTGAAGGAGTGGTCTCCATTAAAGTGTTCTTCACAAGTAGAAAAGTAGGAGTAGTGGTAATGTAATAATGTTTATGAAATGGAAAGTAGAAATATTGCTCAAAATAAACGTGGGTGTGACTCCCACAAAAGAGGAAAACAAAAGCTTTGTGTTAAAATACAGAAGGGGTCCCGGAATTAGAAGGTTCTCAAACAGGCGAGGGAAAACTTCATATTACCGTACTATTCGCTTATTTTTGATCATTCAATTATTGACTACTGATGTTTTTAGGCCTACTTCCCTATTTTACCGGAAATCGCATGGTTTTCAATTAAAATTAGAACTAAAATATTTTCTTCTCAAATTTATGATCAATATTTCAACCGCTGTCGATTTTATTTACTTTTATGATGACTAATTTCATCATTACGTTCCAATATCGATAGGTCCACACTCATGCTCATGCAACACGGAAGGTGTGATAACCGACCACATCCGTTTAAACAGAAACCCTTTGGTCAAAGACGAATCGGACTTGCCCACCACAACCGTGGGAGTTAGTATTCCCAAACATCCATAACTGTGGGCTATAGAAAACGGTTGGTATATCCTTGAAAGGCGGCTGTGTAATTATAAACTTTTTTTCGAAACCAGTTTGTTCATCGAATGCAGTAGGCTTGTTCATAAGGCCTGAATGAGTAGGAAAAAAACTTTCTTAGGCCTAACACTTTCACATTAACAAAAGCAATATTTTAAGTACGGAATAGGCTTTATGCGTCTACACTGGAACGTCGTGTTAAGTTATCCTTATTTCTTATTGAACTGCTGAATGAATATAATTTTTTAATACAATATTAATTCATATTATTAATACCATCATCATTGTTTAATGATTGCAGTAGGCTACCGTTGTTAACATTATGAGACAGTCCTTATACCCTTACTTTTCTAAATCCTCAATCAATCTTAAAAACTGACAAATCAAAACAGGGCCAGATATACGCGCGTGACCCACAAAACCCACGTGCTACCCACTCGTACATTTAAGCCACGTGCTACCCACTACTATCATTTTGTGTTGGACCTTAGACACAATATCCAACAAGGAGTGAGGTTAGAGGGAAATTCTTTATATTTGGGTGTGGCATATTCGCCTATAAATGGAAGGAAATTTTAAATGATTTCTTGTATATGTCTAATTATTTTTGTGTTTATGTTTTTCACATAATACAATAAGAAGTTCATTAAAAAATCAGGTTTTCCAACATCCGGTAGGCTTTATCCACGGTCTATACGTTAGGCCTCTCAAATGCCCTGTGTATTTATAATGACGACAACGACGTTGATAATGACGACACCTCAAAAAGGTTTCTATTATTATGAAAGTGTACAGTATAAACAATATTAAATAATATTTCACTATTATCGTTTAATAATTATTTCTGTTAACTCCAGCGATAATCCGAACTTCCCTCGTTGTCACGATCACAATTCAAGTGATAAGCCGTCGTTAGTTTAATTTCATGATTAACATTTCTTTCTTAATAACACGGTTATTACAAATCTCACCTTTGGTGTAGCGTACCTGCATGTGTCGGTCCAATGCTTATGTTTACGGATGTTGGTAATTCTGTTAAGTACTCACTTACGCTCATGTACCTAGTTTATTTTATTTTCGAATTCATGTACTGCAGTGAAACGCACATCGACACACCTATTCCTTACACATTTGAGAGAAGAAAAATCTAAGGAAATATACGAGATTTGTAAAATACCAATCAAACTCAGCTTATATTATTTGAATAAAAGCATAAGCCGGATTTGATGTCAATATGTTACCTCAAATAAACTATAAAAGATGTTAAAACATAGGCCTAAGGAATGCATCTTTGAGCATTATTATTATAATAGGCCTAATAGCCTTTTTGGAAAATGGATAAACACCGAAAGCAGACTGGATAATGAAATGAATACGCTAAAGGCTATAATTTTTAAAGGGAACATGATAAAAGAACAAGACAACCTCCATGTAAACGCATATAAATGATAATGATAATAGGCCTAGGTCTAATTATTTATTTATCTAATTTTTATTTAATTGGATAAAAAAAGGCCTACACAAATTACAATATATGACATGGTTCAGTGAAATGAAGAGTTTACAAAAGATCAGTGCCTACTAAGAAAAATAGCTATGAAAGTCAACAATTCATCTTCTAAATACTTCCTAGATAAAAATGAATTAATCAATTTTATTTAGAAAAGAGATTTATACATTAAATTCATTATTAAATATGAAATTTATGAAAACAATGTGCCAATAGACCTACACTTAATTTCTAACACATACGAATAGCAGCATAGCAAATTTTTATTGCACATTTTTAGACCTCTAGGCCTTATGCGTTTTCAGGTCTGGGCCCTATATAATGAAATATTATTTACACATCTAGATGTGTATAAGAGACAGTTTGTAGATAGTGACTCTGATAATACATATCTTGAGACACACGTTTCGCGCCTGCGTAATTCTAAATCTTGCCACATCATTCTGATCGAGTAACTCATTTAGTCTTATGAGCAGAAATTTCCTGACTATAATTTCGTCCCAATCTAATTATTCCGATAATACTAGGCCTCCTGATTTCAATACAGGGAATGCCTAATATCTGTCTCTTATACACATCTAGATGTGTATAAGAGACAGTAATAATATATAGGCCTATACTGACTAGACAACAAAAAACCGGACGTGGAAGCGAATTTGCTAAAAATATTTTGTTTCATTATACAGAAGGCTAGGCCTAATATTTTTGTAGTTATCACTGCTTATTTTTAGGCCTACAACCACACGTTCATCATTATATTCCAGACACCATGATATATCACCGTGTGAATCGTCATGTAGGCTACGGACCGGACTCATTCTCAAATGGCTATAAACATATTCTCAATCGGCATACATTTTATTTGATAAACTCAATTGCAAACGTTTATATGAGTTAAGAATCAGTAACTTGCACAGTGGTCCGAAGATTTCCTCCTGCACAGAGGAAAAGTAATTTCGACTCGATGATATAATAAATCCACTCCATTCTAAGTTCCTCCACCGCTGTAATCTAAACCAGTTGTTGTTATGCTGTAGCCAATCAACTATCAAATTGACGGTCACATGCACCAGAAAAATGCCTAACCACGTGACATCATTCAGTGAATGTTTTTCAGCTGCCGCGTCGCTCGCGGCTGGTAGGCCGTGTGGGTGAGTTCTCTAAAATGTCCTCTGAAATACACATTTCATGTCTATTTCCAGAGATATTGGCAATGATATTTAGCTATTTGGATGTTCGTGAAAAAGGTAGATCAGCACAAGTGTGTCGGGCCTGGAGAGATGCTGCTTATCATCGATCTGTTTGGCGTGGCGTAGAAGCTAAGCTCCATTTGCGAAGGGCTAACCCGTCTTTGTTTCCGAGCTTAGTAGCCCGTGGCATCCAACGAGTTCAAATTCTGAGCCTAAGAAGAAGCCTAAGTTATGTGTTACAGGGAATGCCTAATATTCAGTGTTTAAATTTGAGTGGATGTTATAATCTGACTGATAGTGGATTGTCGCATGCCTTTATTCGACAGATCCCATCACTGACTGTTTTGAATCTGAGCCTTTGTAAACAAATTACAGATTCTAGCCTAGGAAGAATAGCTCAATATTTGAAAGGCCTTGAATATTTGGATCTCGCCGGGTGTAGCAATATTACGAACACAGGACTATTGTGGATAGCATGGGGACTGCCTAAATTGAAACATTTAAATCTACGGAGTTGCCGGCATATTTCTGACATGGGGATTTCACATATCGCTGGTGTCAGTGGGAATGAAAGCGAAGGGAATAAACTATTGGAAGTGCTTGTGTTACAGGATTGTCAAAAACTTACAGATTCTGCACTTTCTAGTGTGGCCAGGGGATTGCTACGTCTCCGTAGTGTCAACCTCAGTTTTTGCTGTGGTATTACAGACACAGGCATGCTAGATCTTTCCAGAATGCCTAGCCTACGTGAAGTCAATCTGCGCAGCTGCGACAACATAAGTGATATGGGCATAGCACATTTGGCAGAGTCTGGCTCGCATTTCAACGCAATCGATGTTAGTTTTTGTGATAAAGTTGGAGATCCGGCATTAAATCACATTGCGCAGGGGATGAAAAACCTGAATAGCATTAGCCTTAGTTCGTGCCAAATTACGGATAATGGTCTTGAGAGACTAGTTAAAAGCCTGCAAGAAATAACGACATTGAATATTGGACAGTGTGGGTTGATTAGTGACAGAGGCCTTGCTCTTGTTGCACAATATTTAAAACAATTGAAATGTATAGACTTGTACGGCTGCACAAAAATAACAACAGTTGGTTTGGAAAAGATCATGCAGCTGCCTTGCCTATCGGTGTTGAATCTTGGTTTGTGGCACAGGAGGTAGATAGCCATTTGAAATATGTCATACGGATATGAAGCGGGTACAAAACAGAACAATTTATTTAATGATTGAGCTAATAAATTCTGAAATATTTAGTGGAGGAATTAGCAGAGAAAGTGTACTGTAGGTCCTCGCATCGTGCTGGATAAAGTTTAGCTACGCAATAATTATGTGTTTCCCCTGGACGATCAAATTGCAAGTGGAATGGTAACCTTTGAAAAGGGTATTTGGGGCCAGCATTGCTAGATTGTTAGATCCCCTACAGCCATAGGTCAAGGCCTGGATTGAAAAATGGAAGCAAAAACATGTTCATATTGATAAATATTGTGATAAAAATAATGTTTAATTCAAAAACTATTTGAATTTGACTGTTTTAAAAGCAAAAATGCATTTATGTAAATTAACAGGAAATGTCGTGATCATTTGTAAAGCCCTTGTTATAATAATGAGGCAGAAACATACAGTATGTAATTTTACCAGCTAAAGACGGTAAAATTCCTGAGCACTGAGTTTCTCAGTCAACCTATGACCTAAAGAGCTTGGTGAATGCTTTCAGACAAAAAGCCCCATTTGATTAAAGTACCAAGTATAAAAGGCCCCATTACCACCACTAAGCATGCTAAACACACTTTTGTGCAAGTATTGTAAAGATCAGTTGAGGGTAATGATGCATTTAAGCGGTAATTTATATGAACGGTAACAAGTAATTTTAATTTTAAAAACATGTTACATTGTCATCTGCTGTATGAAAGCAAATTATCCATATTGTTCTTCCAAAAGATTAAATATACAATTTTATTGTTCAGTTTATTTTTTACTACTCATGACAATGAAATCAAAAAGTAGAATAATGTAATTTAAGTTGTATATAATAGTCTCCAACCGGATTGGAGAAGGTTGGGATATAATCCTGACTAATGTAACAACTATATTAATAATAATCTGGCAAAAGTGGTGCATATTTCATTATAATTTTGCATCAAAAAATTAATTTTTAGCCATGTAACCTGTGATGTTGTAACTTAAAAAAACGTTTTGGAAATTGTCCAAATCATCAACCAAAGTTTTAATTTTTCAATAAAATTATAAACATATTGGAATCTGCAAGTGTGAGTTCTGTTCTGGGTTTAGGGCACATAGAAAAATGATTAGATTATCACTCTTTTTAAAAAAAAGTGATGAGGGTAGACAGTTTTTTTTTTTTTTCGGAACAATAGAATAATGCTGCTTTTTTATTGATCAGAGGGAGGGACTGCTTTTATTTGACAAGAATATTTTAAATATTGTATAAAAACTGGTTTAATTTTATTACAAAACTTGCATTGTACTTGTATGATGTTGAAATAAATGCAGTAAAAAAAAAAAATTTTTTTATTCCCACATCAATATTTCCTAAATTTTTTAGTGATAAACATTTTTTTTTATGTGCCCTTTTAAAGGTTTTTATTTAAAATTATAACAATTTTTTTTTAAGTAAAAAAATATAATTATATTGCAAGTGTAATAGCTACTCTCCTTAATAATTATAACTGGTAGTGAATAAGTACGGGTAGGTGTGTCTGAGATGAATTCCTTCCCCACTCAACTCTGGCTGTCGACTGGGAGTGCATTCCTATACATCGTAAAGGTCAGTGAGGCCACAAACCGAAATCAACATACCAAGTTTCTTACACGACTGACCTCAAGTCGGCAAAAGTTATCAACTTATCAGAAACTTACCTGTATGACTAGTTTGTTTATAAGAACTGTGCTTATTTATTGCTCCAAGGTGGCAGACAGAATACAGTATTTACATGATTTCAACCATAGAGAATGAAATTACAGTATACAGTTCATGAGACAACCATCATTGGAAAAAACCAATTGGGAGTGAGAAACAAATTACAGTACATACAAACATTTGTGGATATTTTATCTAATTTGTATTGATGAATCAATACAAATACAGATAAAATCAAGTACTATACTGTATAGGCATATGTAACTTGTACTCCACCATACAGTAGAATATTGGGCCTGTGGATAAAACTTGTTATAATATGAAGTGTCACTACTAATGTACTGTATCATAAAATTCAACAAAATATTACCCACTTTGTTACTACTGTAAATGATGTACAGTACTCAAATTGACTGTACTGCATTGAAAATGAGACGAGATGAGAAATAAGACATCAAACAATAATTATAGCTAATATAAGTTTCCTTTTAAATAATATAGCCAGGAGCCACTGATACACCTTACCCACGAGAGAAAGAATTGGCATTGGTTGGGGTTAATGATAGTGATGTTGTGGGCCAAGGCTCATGAGGTATGTGTGAGTAGGCCTACAGTTGACGGGTGTTGTTAAGTAATTTGAGAGGATTCAGTAAGAAATTCTATGAAAGTGAACCTTCTATTTTGCTTTCGTCATTTTCATATTTTTACCCACATAAAATGATGAATAATGCAGCTCAATATTTTGACCTCGTTGAATTAACAAAAATCGACCTAACATCACCAAAAGTTCTAAATTCAATTTCGTTAGGTGACCAGGATTTTTCAAGTACTTCCTTTCGTTGATATGATTAACATTTTGGAAATTCATCGTAGCAACGACATTGTGGATGGTTATCGTTCATCACCCTTCAATTACACTGACCACTGCGTCTACCTCTGCAAAACCATGCTATTTTTTACAACTGTTTAGTCGAATCCAACCTGTATGCGATGATGCATGTACAGTAATGAATAGCACATGCCTGCGTCTTTTCTTATGGATGATACATTTGGCTTTTAGTCTATTAGCTTCTACAGAAAACCACGTGGTCGTTTCATATCTAATCAAGATCATTATCTCTATATATTTTTTACAGATGGTATTGATATCGTTGTATGAAAACTGAGAATCAATGGTGCCGAGTTTGTCTTTTACCATCAACGTTGACAACTTTAAGTTCGTTGTATCTAAATTATCCACCGAGTGGATTAACCCTATAATATGCAAAAATGAGTAATATTAAAGGATTTTTTTTTCTTCGAGGAATATTTAAATCCCCCACAGGCGTACAATTCACTGCGCAGGTCACCTTGTCGCTGATGCGATAGTTCATTGACTCTTTCTTTTTTTCGATTTAAAACATTAAACTTGAAAATGATACATAAAGTATAACAATCGGTGGAACCACATAGGACCCATTCCAAATCATTATTTGACATCGTTAGTCACTAATCATTTCAAATTTATTATAAAACAATCACAGTAGTATTGACCTCATGGTGTCTACGGCAAAAAGAAATGTACTCAGAATGGTAGATCAACTGCCTAAATTATTCAAAATTATGCATTTTACAAATAAACCTTGGGATATGCATAAAATGGGGAAAACATGTGAAATCACCAAAATATGCTTATTTAAAAAAAATGTTGATAACAATAATACAGTAATAGTATTACTAATATTATAATAATAGTAATGCTGATAATAGTAATGATGATAATAATAATATTTATTAATAATAATATTATACATTGATATTATTGGATTACAGTTGTAAAATCTGCCTGTTTAAAACGCGAGTTGTATTTTTATAAATCCCCTCACCTACAGTAGGCATATTCTCTAATTTTCAGATAATTGTACTTGGTTTTGTCCAGAACTTGAGCGATTGCTTAATCACCTATTGTATGGAGCTTTAGTGTACTAAAGAGAAGGAATTGACCCGACCCCGACACACAATACGTGGATGCGGGTCAAGGCACTTTACCACTGGGATACTTATGTCGTCTCATTCCAACAAGGATTTAACATCACTGTACTTCTATATTCACAATTATAATTAGGTAATGAGATTAGCAATTAACATTTATTTGATCACATGAATATTCATATGATTACTTAAATTCAACATCTGAGTACAGTCATAAGCACATACTATTCCATAATTCTCTGTGATATGTCAACATTTGTTTTGCAGTTGCCATTCTACAATTGTAACATAGGCCGCTTATTTATAGCAATGCACTGTTGTGGTTTGACAAGCCATGGTTTTCCGCTTTTAACATGAGGGTTATGGTTATTATAACGTTTTGACTGATTGGCAAAAAGCAAGTTGTAAACTACAGTATAATAGTACTGTATCACTCGGCGTTTTTTTTTACTACACAAGACCGTCTCGTTTAATAATTTTGAAATCCACACAAAACAGGTCGTCTTGAAAATACGACAAAATTGAAATTATGAGGCCTAATAAAATAATCATTGTCTAAAATTGTATTAAAAAAATATTTCGATGTTATGATTTCGTTAATTAGAGTAATATTTCAATAAAAAATAGCCGAAGACACGATGCTACAAAAAAAGATTCATAAGAACTTGTAGGCCAATGTTGTTTGTACTAATAGGCCTATTATTAAGCGCGCCTAGTAGTTTGCAAATTATTCCCAGCCGACACTGATTTCCAAAAGTTTCTTTGCTTGAGTTTGAACACAACACTTTGAGCTTGATACACGCGGGTCCATGTTGACCCCCCCGGCCCCACCCCCTCCAAAACACAGGTGGTGAAGCTGCAAAGTAATTAGTAAGACAACAATAAACAACTGAATGATATGCAGCTATAGCACAAGTACAAATTATGACTTCTCTGTATACCGAGTAAGTCGTCGTTGTCTTAGGAACTTCTACAAGTTAAATATCATAACATGATAACATTTTTCTTGAATGTCAACTTAATTATAAAAAGTGCATCTCCTTTTTGTGAAAATTGACGTATGATACAATGGTATGTAGAATGGAACTTAGCTATAATTATTTATTTATTGAAACATACTCGTATTGCTTAGGAGGATGTTTGAATTCCCGGTAGGACTTTCTGGCGGTTTTCACTCTTTTTTGAACCAAAATACGAGGAAGAGAACGAGAACATTACATTTTTGGGTGGTCTACTACACAACAGTTGTCTATAAATAGCCTTTATTTGATACGGCATCAGAGGGATATTATCAATTATTACAGTATATTGTCCTATAAGAAAATATAATTATACACAACACAATCTCGATCTATATTTAACTGTTGAAAAAGAATATACAGTACTGTGAGAAATTCACAGGCTGCATGTTGATTTGCAGAGGACTGAATAAGTGCAGTGAACGGGAGCGAAGCCTCGCGGCAAAGTACTCCCTAGGCCCCAGTCAGGTTATTCGAAACGAAATCCATCGGTTTGCCAATTGCTGTAAATTCTTCACCGGCGGATGAACTTTAACTACTGTAGTCAATCGACATTAAATATTAATTTATTCATGTTTTTATGAACCCGGATTGTGTGTATTATCATGGCATTCGGACTACACAGTATAAGTAACGGTATTACATCTACTATATGTATAGCATTAATGTTTCATATGGGTAGGCCTACATTAATAACCATAACACTCATTCACCGTGGAGAGGTTCTGTTTCCACTCACACCATGGTGCCTGCGGAGCGGAGACTTCAAATTCCGCTCGCTACGGGAAACCGGTTGAATCTAGCTTCCAACAATCGCAGTGTTCTCACAGATCTACACTAACTAGAAGGGAAAATGGATTTAATACATGGGCATTTTGACAAAAATGCCGTATTGCAGCGGATCTTTCCATGCCATTAAATTGAAGGACGTTTTTTAAATCCACAATAAATCTGCCAATATTATTCAAGATACGCTCAGAAGGTTGTCTGCAATAAACTACAGAATTCACCAGTCGGCCACAAAAAATAAAATACTGTAATACAGTAATTATGCACTGGATTTGTCATTAAGATAACCTGATGCAGAAACTACCAACACAGTTTCAGATTTAAGGGATGGGGGGTCAGCCCTACTGGCGACTCCTTCCATAAATCTTCCAAAATATAAAAAAAAAAATGAAGAAAGCATGGTTGGTCGACACCCACTTTGTGTGAAAGTCCCTCCCTGCCACCACCCTCTCTTTTTTCAAATCCTGGATCCGCCACTGAAACATAAACAGACCGTGCTCACAGGTATTCAGGATTGAAAACTACAACGAAAAGAGGGTATGCATATAACAGATTGAACTGCTTATTTTGTAATCTATTGAACTTCTAAAAATCA